ATGACTTCCATCACCACTATAACACTATAACTGAGGAGTCACCATCACTCCAAAAAATTGTGTGTGTCATAATTACCAAGACACCATAACACGAGACATACGATCAGCACTGACTATTTCTTCATTAGCCTTAATATGATGTCTCAACAATATATCTACAATACAGTACATATAAACTTTCAAGTACTGTACGTTAACTCTAATGTATGTCCACTGCACTATGACACCTCTGCCACTTACACAATGCAGTACACATGCGCACACACAGACATCTTAAGAAACTTGTATCTAAATCCCAGTAGAGTCCAAGTGAGGAGTCATCCTAGAGATACCAAGGTTATTTAGTTCATATCTAACAGTGTTATCATCCTGTCATGATAACACCCTGGTTACCCTACAACTTATCATGCAAACGTATAAAATTATCTTAATGTTCGTGTAACCCCGCCTATCACTTAATGACTGTTTATTTGTTTAATACAAAACTTACTTCAATAGTAGATTTTTTCCTATGGTGCATACTGAACCATCCATGTTATCTCTCTTCCATACATATTTCCTAAAGTTATCAACCAGCAACACAAGTCTCTCCACCATAAATCTGTGTCACAGAAACACCAGCTGATGACAATGATAACAGCACAACAGGAAACATTACACACGTATTCTAAACTCTGACATGAGCAGCCATGGATACCGGTGTAAGATTTTCACAATTAAGAACTGAAACTTTTTAACACGTGCCCCATCTCTTACATATTAAGCCTAAATTTTGACTGAGATTTTCTGAATATGAAATACTGCATAAATATTATTTTTCTTTTTATGTTTTAATTTCTTCTTTGTGGCTCATGGGGGATTATTTGAAAAGGAATATATCCTGTATAGTAACTGATAACTGGTACAGTATACCTATCCTTCCCTGACCAAATACCTCCTCGACAACATTGACTCCTGTGATGTACAGGGTATTAAGTTTCCAACATCTTTGGGGAAAGATAAATGGTGTGCATTTCATGCAAACACTATTTTATGCCGGAAATGTCATGATAAGAGAGATGCTCATATTTTATCAACTGTGCAAAAAAAAAAATATGGTTGGCAGTGAAAAAGTTGATCGGAAAACTGGAGAAAAGATCATGAAACCAAAGGTAATCCTGGATTAACATAAATATGCATCTTGTGGATGTGAGTGTAAGAGAAAATCAATAAAGTGGTACAGTAAAAAAAAAAAAACTTCCACTTGACTGACATCACCCTGTTGAACGCATACAATTTATACAAGATGATATCCGAGAGGTAAACCTTAATTGATCGAGTTCAGAAACAGATCCTGTGCTAGAAACATAAGGTCACCAATTTGATGCTTCCTACAAGAACCCCCACAGTAATGTACAGTACCAAACCCAGACACAGAACACCTCACTGAGAATGAAAACAGAAGCACCAAGACACTTATTATTACTGTCCTGATTGTGATGCCAGACTGAGTTTCAAGGACTGTTCTATATTGAAGAACGTTTTAAGTAATGAAAATAAATATACTGTATGTAAGTGTTCAGTTTTACAAATACTGTACTTGAAAGTGTTAGACCGCATACAAACATTACAATAACAGCGTGAGACAAGTGCCTTTTGCTGGAACTGGACCCATTAAAAAAGTGTATGATCTATATTTCTATTATTTAGTGAGCAAGACAGGAACAGTGTAGGTGCATATAAAAGAATATAAAGAGAGAATAAAATTATTGAACTGAAACAGATAATTGTGTGAGAAAGTTGTTGGCAAGGTTACAGCTGCCAGCCATAACTACACAAGGTCCTTATTACTCACAAGGGAGACCAGAAATTGTCAGATAGCACAATATACTGTACCGTTTTACCACTAATTGAATCAGCGCTAAAATGGGTCATCATACTATTATATATATAAACAATACCTCACTAGTCAAGAATCGAACCCAGGATCTCCACATGTGAACAGAGACCGCTACCATGGCACCACAAGGGCAAAAAGTTATCCTAAGCTTTGTTGTATTTCACACAAAGCCTGCGCCTTCGTCTTGCTGCACTTGGTAAGGCAACTGTATCTCCATTACTAAACAAGAGTAGAAGAGGCAACCTAAACTGATGAAGGTGGTGGTGGTGAGTGAGGTTGTAATGAAGTGTTGAGCGAGACGATGTGCTGGTTGTTCATGGCAACTACTGCACTGCCTGGCACTAGTGGTCAGCTGATGTCTACAGCCTCAATTTATCATTATCAACAGTTTCTTTACTATCACTGTACATCTACATCATAACAATACTCATTATTAAACAATGATAACTTCCATTAAGACAGAAAACTGACAGTCTGGCACCCCCCCCAACACACTTACAAACACCCGCCCTTATGAACGGAATCCCAATATATTCATAAAAAAAATCTGTAACAAAAATTTAATTTCTTACATTACTTTCATTGTTCTATATTGTTTAACCTAACTTTATTTACTGTATTTACATTGTACGTTATGTATGGAATATTACTATTGTTTTGTATGGGCAGGGTCGTGCTGTAACCTAACCTAAACTATGAAATTAACACTGTTCCGACTTACAAACAGGGTCCAGGAACGTAAATTGTTCGCAGTTGGTGAATTTGCAGGTAACAATGACATGCTGTACCACAAACCTGGCCATCTACCATGAATCTTTCTCCCATAACCACTAAGTCAGGCTGATTTCTGTGTTTTTTGTACATACTGTTTGTTTTTATACTACTGAAAATGTTAATTTCTTAAGTTTGTGTCAAAAAGTTGTTTTAAGTTTGTCTTCTGATGTTATTGTTTTATTAACCCCTTGTACATGGTGTCCCCTCTGAGCTGAATAAAATCGTCTGACAGTAGCCAAATAAAATATTAAAAGTGGCATTGTTAGGTGGTCAAAGTGTTAACAATCTGGAAATAATTTAGCCGCTTCATCTTGTAAAAATCCTCGTGATATGATTCTAATAATCTCCTTATGGAAGCAGCATAATAACACTGAGAAAAAATGGCATAGGCAAAAAACTGATTCTTCTCAATAAGAGTACAATATAAATCTGCATACACAGCTGTTGTTTATTGGAATTTGTCCGACACAGCTGTTGCTTGACAATGTCTCCTCGAATGTAGAGTTTTCACTGAAGTCCAATCAAGACTGCCATACCCTGTACTTTTTCATTTTTTCATCTGGTTGGAGAGGCCAATGTTCTTGGCTAAATCAGGGAACTTAAGAATAGTTACTGTCAACCAGGCCTTATAAATGTACAAAAAAAATAGCCTTTGAACTGGCTCCTCCTTTTGTTACAGCAATTATTAATCTCTTCTCCATTTTGTAACACCCAATCACTCTTACTGCTGTAAAAGCCTCAAGAACCACCTGACACAAACCTTTCCTGTGACACACCAGTGATACAGGAACACAAAACTACCATCACCTCAATACACTCAACCCCCCCCCCCTCCAGTAACCCCTCTTAAAGTCTTAACTCTACCACAACAGCCTACAGGTCACCCTATCTACACAGCTTCTTCTCCTTCACCACTACCTTCATGGGGGCCTTGGCTCTCTGTACTGTACTCCTCTCTTATTCCTTTCCACAGTGATACTCGTAGATATCTCGGAGTTCATGAAGATTAGGAACCTCCCCCTACTTATTTCACATGATGATTAAAAGGATAAATGCTAACCAAACCTAACCTTAACCTCCCTCTTCCCCATTAGGTAGTTTTAATATGAAATGAGTGCACGAGTTTGAAAATCTCTCCATCACTCAAGTAATTTTCATCTTTGAGAACTGCATCGTGTAGACACATTATTAGCTCGTTATTCCTTTTGTTCTCAGCCTTACACGGTGAAAATGGATTCCACAAGCCTGACCGCATATGAGAGACAGATCAAATACTTTATATTATAGTCTTATCCCTTTATTTCTGTACACAAGAGATAATGCAGCCAAAAATGCAGTCAATTGCCTTCACTTTCCCTTTCACAGGTGGGTGGACTTGGGGAGCCCTGTCCATAAATCATCAAGCCCTTAGGACAGACAGCAAACACACTGGCTACTCAACAGCTACACCCAGTAATCAGAAGAAGAAAAAATATATATATATACAAACAAACCAAGAATTATGTTTTCCCATCTAATTCGACTTAAGACACCTGCTTCATAACCACCTTATTTCAGTCTCTGCCTCGTATATAAAAACAACATTAATTAAAAATAAATCTTGTGCACAGCCTTCTTTCACTTGCATCAAATTCAAAAACGTTCACTACATCTCCTCTCCACCTTTGCACATACAGTACTTAGGGAAAAAACTTAGTACAGTATAAAACTCGTATTCTCCTGTACACTGTACGTATACAGTACAGAACTTCAAAGACTTATTGCTATGTGCTCCAATCAATTCTTCTATCATATCCCTCTTCCAGTTCCACCAACCTTGTCTCCATCCACCAACACACTCCCTCTCTCTGATGACCTTCCATACACATCTTCACCACTCCAAGGTACTGTATTCACTCACAGCCAATACTTTTAATGTCACTTTGTTCTTTATCACCTTGTTTTGTGTTGTTTTATTTCTCACCTCTCCTCACTACTCCCTTCAACAACCTTTTCATTTACATAGACTCTTTTGTTCCAATCCTCAATTATGGAAATACGACAAAGTGACTTGAACTCTTGGTACAATCTGCTGGAGAGTGTTGTGATGACACCAAGGTCGTGAGCTCATTTAAGGCCAGACTTGACCAACACTGGTGCAGGTACAGATACAATCTGAAGCCAGTACTTGCCAACAGTGCATGACAGAGACGTGACTGACAGCCCAAGTGGCTAGCAGGCTGATCAGTTGGGAAAAAATAAAGTAAAGTTAAATAAAATAATTAGCCCCCTAGTGACTTCTCCTTTCTCCCTTGAATAAACAGGAGCCTTGCCACTATTCCCATCAGTCAAACAATGCAACACTCACCCTTCATAAGCTGCTGGACTGTGGCGATCTCCTCCTGACACTTGCGTTGCTCCACGGCGATGTCATTCTCGGCGGTGCACTGGGCGATGGTGACAGCACTGTGCGCCTCCTCTAGATCTGCCTGTAGTTGTCTTACCTGTGCACGCAGCACCTCTACTTCTGTTGCTACAGCACTATTCTGCTCACTCTGTAGTCGCAGCTCCTCTGTTTTAAAAATGTTGAAAAATATGTAGTACAAATAGTCCATATTTTTACAAAACCTCTCTCTATTTATGTAATTTTAGAATAACATGATGTATTAATTAGGGACAAAACTAATTTATGAAAGCAAAATCCCAATACTGTACTGTACTGGTGTTTTAAAATTTGTCAAGACCCTTGTTCCTACCACATGCTGTACAGTGTGGTCTGTTTAATATTGCTTTACTTGCACAGTATCTTCTGCAATCTTTGTTAAGGTTTATATATTCTTTATCTTTTAATTGCAGAAAAAATTAAAAAGCTTGAAAGATAATTAGCTCAGCCAAGAAAGTGAACATAAGGAGGCTCAGAGGACGAGAGAACTGAGGGCGGCAGGAATGGCCAGCAGTGAAATTTACTCTTCTTACAAATATATACAGTATGGTACTGAGTGCAGCTACTAATGTGAGGCATTTTTAAATAAACAGGCATGAAAAAATATAAATAATGTAAATCCGTGAATTTATTCAAAACACTTTAAGTTTAAGTTGCATTAGTGTCATACAGTATTTACAGGCAGAGTAAAGGACACAGCTGATGGTAGTGGTGTGAAGAAGCAACATAAGACCATTAACCTTGCTACGAAAATGGAGGTTTTAAACCGGGAGGAGGAGCCACCCGCCGGGTCTCAGTGACTCACCACCCTCCTCCTCCTCCTCCTCCTCCACTTCACTACCCACCACACACTCACTCCACCACCTCCGTTCATCAATGAGTACAATACAAAATGATTTAGTTTATTTATATACAGGTGCTCCTCGACTTACGAACTACTCGACTTACGGCCACCCAGGCATACGACCGCCGCAGCCGTATAAAAATTTTTTCTAATTCCGTACGTATTTTCTAGTACCGAAACGTTTCCTTCCCGTACGACAGTGTGGCGTGGGCTGGGCCGCCTCGTGATGTACGGAGTCCACGCCGTAATGTGCTCAGTTGGTGTTTAGCCGTCGTTGTTGTCATTAGTGATCGCGCTGTGTACCGACAATATTTTTGTTTCTAATTCCCTTTAAAATGACTGGCAAGCGTAAAAGTGAGAGTTCTGGTGGTGCTCAGAGAAAAGAGACAGTCAATTACTTTTGAAATGAAAATGAAAATAATAATACAATATGAAAATGGAAAAATGGTAGGAACCATTTCACACGACCTAGGCTTCTCTCACTCGACGATATCAATAATTTTGAAGGACAAGGAATGAATTCGTGAGGTAGTGAAAGGATCAGCACCTATAAAGGGAACAATAACAACTGTTTGAGGATTGGTTCCTAAGTTGTTTCATTCCACGAGTCAAGGAGTATTGTCTGCAACAAGGGGTTGCGTTCAAGATATTATTAATTTTAGATAATGCTCTGGGACACCCACCACACCTGGACGACCTGCACTTAGAGCGTATTAATTACGTATGACCTTCGCTCAAGCTGTTGTTGCTACTGAAGGTGAGAAAACGCAAAGAGAGTTTTAGAAGGACTACAACATTTTGAAATGTATAAAGAACATAGCTGCAGCATGGGATGAGGTTACAGGTCAGTGCATGAATGGAATATGGAAGAAAGTCCTGAAAAGATATGTGAACAGTTTCAAAGGATTTAATGAAGATGAAGCAATTTCTGAGATTAGTAACAAGATAGTGTAGTTGGGTAAACAGCTGGAGTTAGAGATTGATAATGAAGATGTTGAGCAGTTGGTTGAAAGTGTAGCAGAAACAAATGGCAGAGGCATTTGCTACTATTAATAAGGGGATACAAATGTTTGAAGAAATGGATAAAAATGTTGAGCATTTTGCAAAAGTTGACAGAATGGTCCAAGATGCACTTGCTTGCTACAGGGAGATTTACAATGAAAAGAAAAGGCAAACTGTGCAGTCTAAATTTGACATATATTTTATGAAGTCCCCCACTGCTGTCTCCTCACGCCCCACCACTGCTGCCTCTTCACTCCCTAAAGATGATACCAATACCTTCAACCAGCAAGTACGTTAGCCTGTCTCAAGAAAGCGAAATTGATGACTCACCCAGCCCTGTTTCCTCCTCTGCTTCATCCAATTAATGTAGTCTCCAAATTTAATTAAAATATTATTGAAGACCCATGTGCATCCAGCTGACTACATTAAGGGTAAATGCACAGTAACTCTCAATTCATTTTTCATTATTGATTACTTTTACTGTACCGTATTTCATTTTAGATTTTCTATGTATTATTTCCGCATTTTCGACTTACGACCAATTCGTCTTACGACCTGGCCATACTATTTTCTATAAAAATGCCATTGAATTTCTGTATATGTACTGTAATGTATTTCATGGGGCAAAGGGAGGCTGGAGAACGTAACTCCCGTGTTTTATCTATTTCTTATGGGGAAAATTGATTCAGTTAACGTTGCGATTTTCAGGAATGGAACCACGACGTTAAGTGAGGACTTACTGTATATCCATTACCCAGCAAATCTGGGACCAAAAATAAACAAGATTCTAAAGTTTTCCAATTTTTAGAAATAGCAAGCCTAGAATATACAATATGTACTGTAAATAAAATACTAAATAAGGTATGAATATAATATGAATATAATGAAGTTTAGAGGATGCAATTCCCAGAAAACCCCAGAATGAAATACCTGTACAGGTACGGTATATGAAGTACAAGTTTTATATTACCAAAAACACGATTATGATTTGTTAATTGAAGAAAATTTGAGCTCTATACATACAGGTAAAGTACCAAACCGTATTTATAAAAAGCTACAGAATTAGACAACCTATTGCTAAAGTTAGTTCTGACCGTTCATGGTACGGCATTGTCTTTTCCTCTCCTACGTGAGGAAGTGATAAACACTGGCATAGATTCCAGGCAAACTGAACCTCCACTCATAGGAGGGAGGGTGTGGTCCCTCCTCTCCCACTACTGTACCCAGACCACTGATCAATGCCTGTACTGTACTGTATCAACACTTCAACATCTCCCAAGGATGAAAAAATAAATAAATAAAAAATAAAATATAATATAATTTTAGGTGTTTTGTTCAAACAACAAAGCAAAGGATAACTTTATTTTTCACATGATCTAACCGTAAATCACACTGCAAATCATGATAACCACCAAAATGTGGGTCAAGTAGGGTCTTGTGAGTCGAGTTGGTGTAAGTGCTGTATGGCTCAGGCCGCCACCAATCACACAACATCTTACAGCAGTAAAAATGTACTGTACAGTTTTCCACATTACTGTTTTCCTCACAATCTAATTTTACATGTTGATCCAGTACTGTACTCAGGTTAACAAGGCCTAAGTTTGGAGATACATACACTGTACTGTTCTTCATTACACTGTACAGTACAGTGAGTTCTGCTATAACGCGTGTTTTGACAACGCGAATTTGCTCTAACGCGATTTATGAATTCGGAACAATATTTGTATAACGCGAACGCTTGTTTGCTATAACGCGATTTTTGCTTACTATTTCTCCAATTTTGTGGTATTAACTGTGAATATGGTAAAGAAGAATATCTCCAAAAAGCGTCCTGATGATAGAATTCCCGGTGATTATTGTAAAAGAAAGGATATAACACTTGAAAAGAAGCTCGATGTTATCAACCTCAAAATCACCCTTCTCCCCCATCAAGTTACATTCATATTTTTTCAAGGTAAAGTGTTAAATTTACTGTATGATTTCATTATTAGATATGAATGTAACATTTATTTAGACTGTGCTATCCTTTGTGTTAGGCTAACTACTAAATTTTTTCGATTTCGAGTAATCTGCACCTAACCCTATTTTCTCCATAAGCCCTGTTATTTCTATTACGCGACTTTCTATAACACGATATTTTACAAGAACACAATTATCGCGTTATAGCAGAACTACCTGTACAATACTAATGGAAGCCCCTCAAAATCGAGGATGGCCAGCCCAAGGGCCTCCAAGGCATGAATTTGTTTAAGGTGTAGAAGCTGTCGCCAACACAACAACCACACCCTGAGATAACAAGCTGCATGACCCAGTGTCAAGGAATAGTCCAGCTGCACTGGCTAACCATTACCCCGGAACACGATCCACAAATCAATTAACATCCAGGTTCCCAATTACTGCTGGGTAGACAGAGGCAAATGGCGTAAAGAAACTTGCCCATAGTTTCACCCTGCCCGAGGATTGAACCCGGGTCTGCTCACTTGCGAGGCGAGGACGCTGACCATTACACTACAGGTCACCATACTACACTATACAACACTACACTACAATATTCTACACTACACTATACTACACTACACTATACTACACTATACTACACTACAATATTCTACACTACACTACACTATACTATGCTACACTACACTACCTGCTTTTCCCAATGTTTGCTATTCAACATAATTTTCTTGCTCCATCACCCTACTCTTACCCTATTCTTCTTTGCTCATCCAGCTCTTACTCTCTCTTTCCTTCAACCTTCCTCTCATTCTTTCCTTCCTCACTTCTGTCCTCACTCAATTTCCTTCACCTTCCTCACTTCTCTCCTCCTCTCTCAATTTCCATCAACCTTCTTCACTTACCATCCTTCACCCTACTTCTTCTCCTCCCTCCCCTCCACACACACACACCTTCCTTCTGCAGGTAGAGTTCCTTCAGCTTGGCCCGCCGGTGACCAAAGTCCTCCTCAACACGTGCATGTTCCTCCCTCAGCTTGCGTTCTCGGTCCTCCAGCTCCTTTAACCGGGCCTGGAGCTCTGAAAACACCCGGAAATAATTATCTCATCATTCTATTAGGTAGTCAAAGCGAATTTAATCGAATCTATGCTACATATGTAAAGAATATCACCTGAAGATTTGACACACCAGTTTATGTCACCGGAGCATTAACGAACCTCAAATTACCTGGGGGGGGTTGGAATAGGTTAAGTTAGGATAGATTAAATTAAGTAAAGTTAGCATTAAGTTTGGTTAAATTAAATTGGTTAAAGTTAAATTAGATTAGGTGAGCATTAGGATGGTTAATCTTTGGGTGAAATGAGCCAGCATGAGTAATCTTCAGGTACTCAGTATAAAATCATCCGTAGGGGGATCAGACAGTCCCTACAAGAGGCACCACTACATACAGCGAGACAATAAGACATCCCTTCACGTTAGGCAAATCAAGGCGGGACTATTCAGAGTCATGGTAGGTTTCTGGCCTTCATGCTAGTAAATTTCAGAGTACCGGTGTGTTTCAGCATTGTATAATATATTTTAAGTATAATTATAGTACAGTATACTGGTTAGAGCTAAATAATACAGTATTGTCTAAAAAATTATGGGTCAATATTATCAATAACACTATCAGAATAAATCAATTTGTGGATTTCCAAAACAGCGTAGGTGATTGAGTCGGTTCACAGTGACGCTCCAATAAATATAATCATTGCCTTTAATTAATATCTAATTGTTGACAAAATATACACAAAGACGCTACTATTAACTTTAGCAAATAAATGTTACAATCATTTAATATTTCTTAGTACAGTACAGACTTAAGTGGGAAGCAGCATTAGAGAAAACATCATTGGTACGCCATTCTTGTATACCCGTACATCTATATCTATGGTCAACTATTACAGCAACTTTTTTGCTTTGAAGAAAAGTTGTTCCTCATCTCAAGAATATCCCCCACAATCACCCCCAGGAATTGCAATTTACATGCGGTGGGTGGGTGGGCGGGGGATTTATTTTTCCATTTATTTATTTCCGATAAATTCCGAGTTCAACTTTAAAATATGCAAAAACAACCTAACCTAAACTACCTTTCAGATCGTTCAGTGTGGTTAGGATTCGTTAAATTACCCCAGGTCGTGGATGGCTCGTGTCATCTTCAATTTAATGTCAAGCTCCGACCAACATCGCTTCCATACTGTACTGTATACCCTGTTGTATATGTGAAGACTAAAGAATTATTTTTTTTTTTTTTTCATTAGTCTGGTAGTAAAATGAGATGACCCCATACGCATAAAGACACCATTTAGGGCACAGCACGGCCGACACTGCACAAAACTGCATTCATTTCCCCAACCATAAAGTTAGGGTCCCGGATCTATTTACAGCGGGGTGACCTGGAAGTACCTCGGGATCAGACCAGAAACAATTGGGATAGGTGGCAAGTGATCTATCCTGCCACACTCCACATATTTTGATAATAAAACGGCAATATTAAAATGGTCAGGTGATAGAGCAGGCATCCCAGTTTATTTCACCTTATGATTAAATAGATTGAGAAGGGTTTAGAACAGATCAGGTCAAGTTAGGTCAGGTTATGCTGCATTACTGTACATTAGACTAGGTTAGGTTAGGTTAGATTAGGTTAGTCTTTTGGTGTTTAATCAAGTGAAATTTAGTTGGGTACTTAATCTGCAATTGATCCTATTAAAATACATATATTTTTTTAACAAATTTGAGATACAAAAATTTACATGAATCAAATTAACCAAAATTAGTATGAAGTAAAGACTGTTTGGCTAGGTTAAGTTAGGTTAGGTTAGGTTAGGTTTGGTTTGGTTATCTCATCTATCCTAAACTATTGATGCTAAAGTCTTGCACTCACGGCAACAGACGTACACTAATATATTTTTAATTTGGCATAACTGCATTTTCGGACAAGACGCCCCAATAGTTGTGCATTGTGTTTCCTGATGGCTTAGAAAATTTTATGACACATTTCTTCTATGGCGTTTCCATCGCAAATAACGTAAAATTACCTAACCTAACCAGTCTGCAAGGGAAACATCAGGGAAGAAAAATGCCTTAAAATTGTCTAAACCATAGGAAACACAACGTCTTCCATTTCATCCTGCAATAAGAGGCGGTGTTTAGTGAATATGTGAAATAAATTAGATTATGATTAAATATCCTAATGTTACCTATGAGGGTCAGATTAGATTAGATTAGGTTAGGTTAGGTTAGGTACCCCTGTAATAGTAAGTTAGGTTAGGTTATGTTAGCTTTAGGTTAGGTTATGTTAGCTTTAGGTTATGTTAGCATTAGGTTAGGTTATGTACCCTGTATTACTATGTTATGTTAGGTTATTAGGTGAAATAGCCTGGGATCTGGGATGTCTAATTTTCAGGTGACCCCAAAAATGCCCAATTACAGTAGTATAGTTACAGCTTTGTACAGTTAATGCAAATACTAAAACAGTGAGACCACCATCTAACAAAGTATATAAAGAAGAAAGTCCATTATATCGAGGGTTCGTTAGATGCGAAACCTCCATCTAGCAAATAATGAGACCAGTCAGTTATAAAACCATTCCACTGTATAAACATGAGCCCACAGGTATATATCCAGAGGCAGAATGACTGTATCTTATTAGCTTAGTCACAAAAGTTCAAAAGATCCTTAACCAAATTTAATTAATATTTAACATTGTCAGTATTCCTGCATTAGTACATTTTTAGTATACCTGTACTGTATTGTGTATGTATTCTGGATATGTATTCTGGATTGCCTATTCATATGCTGAGGTGACAAAGGACAAGAGTGAACAAGTGGTAAAAATCCACCTATGAGGTATAGTGTAAACGTCGAGGGTGAGCCACATAGTTTAAGGCTCGAGGAAGACACTCACCCTCGACAATGGGCTGTGGTTCTTTATGAGGGGCCTCTGAGTCCTCCATGATGGCGTTATCCTCCTCACCTCCCTCTCACTCAACACCTAGATGACATTCTCACCAATAATGTCATCTCTCTTCTCACTGGGAAATCAGCTGCTCGCGGCCCAACTCCACCGGATGTCGCTCCTACAACCCTACCAACACCGGGCGGACCAATCACAATGAGGTGTGTTTCTTAACCTTGTTCTGATTGGTTAAAGAATCATGAATGAGTCTATCCAGAAGATTTTGAAGTGTATTGATTAGATGGTCATTTTATGTTGTTTACACATGAGGTCAAAGGTTAATTGTTGTTTATATTCAATTTCTTTAGATCTTCCTTACATACAAATATAAAAGAAGTTATTAAATACATAAAACCCATTTTAATGAGCTTTAACGTGTCATGGCCGCAGTGAATAACTCTAAGTTACTGAACTTAAAATTCTGATTGGTATTTTTGTCTACTCACGGGAGTTTTATATTGCCATCATTAAATATAATATTTCAGGAGTTTATATGGACTTATAACTTACTATTGAACATCTGGAATGATTTCAGTGTGATTAGAGCTTTTTTATATCAATGAACTCAAACGCTACTTAAGTTCTCGCCTTCTCGGACCATCGTGAGGTGACTCAAGCTGTCACTGTAGGCCCTATAAGGTCGTTCACACACTTCATCAAAGGTGAGGTGCTTTCCCGTTAAGAGTACTGTCTGGTCCCCGAGACACATATACTAGAGACTGTCAGCTGATTGAAAATGTCCAAAGGAGGATCACCTACGGCACCTCAGTTACCTAAAGAAATTAGAACCCCTTGAACTGCCTGGCTTATACTAGAGATGGGCAAGGGGTGACCTAATAGAGGTTTATAAACATCTGAGAACATTACTCAGTCGAGTGTTCACACTTGGAGCTGGCGGATACCTTCCCCAATACGGGTCGTAGCTTTAGGTTGAAGAAAGTTGAAAGTTTAGAAAATTATCAGGGCAAACTTTTTTGGAGTGAGAATTGTAAACTATTAGAAAAATCTGCAAGAGAGTGCTGTGACACCGAGCGAGATCTTTATTCAAGACCAGACGTAACCATCATTGGCGCAGGCACTAGTCTGGCGGTCCCCTGGACATTTTCAAACTATACTGACAGTTTCTTGCATAATTCGAGGACCAGAGGGGAGGTCAGTACAGTACTTCAGACGGGGAAGCACCTCGCGTTTGAAGAAATTTATGAGGATCGCATCGTCTAGGTGTGTGAATTAACGCCCGTCTTATGAGACCTAATTTATTAGCTTGTGGGGCTCAGAGATATTGTCTCACACTCGGGATGGGTAGGAGAAAGGAAACTCACAATGTATATATATTGTAATGGATGTACAGTGTAGCTTGGTGTTGGGAAGTGGCAGTGTGGTTACAAGCCTGGAGTAGAGAGAGCTGGTTCGGGAGCGTGCCCAGAGGAGGTGTTGCTTGCTGTGTGGCTGAAGGTAGAAGAAGGGGCAGGTGACGGCGAGGTGAGGTCTTATATAGCGGGGGTAGGCGTGGCTTGATAGTTGACCTTAGACCACGAGGCGTTGGCTGGGGAATTCGAAAAGGGGTTGGCTAGTCAGCGACAAATGGCAGTTGTAGTTGTAGGGGAAATTTCCACTACAAGCTTAATTAGTTGCTTAATTCACCTTGTCACAACGGTCCGAGAACTTCAGTATGTGCACCCTTTTGCAGTTAGTGGTTAAATCTTAACAGCCATTCTTTTGACCATGCCTGAAGCTGCCAGAGATCTTCCTTTAAAATTTCACAGTCCGATTGATTCCTTATTTCTCTGAATAAATTGGCATCGCCCGCAAATAATTGTGTGGGTAAGTGTATACTTTTTACTTCGCTTTTCTCCTCCTCGCTGCTGCTGCTCGTTAGTGGCTTGGGTGCTCGGTCACGTGTGGGTGTGTTCCTTTTACTGAGCGTTCTTAAACCCCATTTCTATCACTGGGTCATTGAACCTGAACACATCAGTGAACTCTAAAATATTGTTTTTTTGTTTGCTGACTTTTGTTAGATACGGTATGATGACCCTTTATAATGTTCATTTTTGCGGTTAATATGTGCTTCTGTTTTAATTATAAATTTATAATGTTATTTGAACTGTTGTATAATGCATATAATGCTTTCTTTATTAAAATCTTGTAATATTTCACATGTTCTAGGGGGCTTTGTCCAAGGAAGGTTTTTGTCCAAGGGGGGTTTTATCCTAAGGTTTTTTGTCCGAGGTACATGCCCAGTACTTGCCAACAGTGCTTAACAGAGACGTGACCGATCGCCCAAGTGGCTAACGAGCCGACCAGTGGTGAAGAGGATAAATGATAGAAGATGTACGTGATTACCTGAAGCGACTGGCGACGCACTTCCTCGAGGACTACTGATTATATGTTCTGAAAATTTATGACTTAAATTCACACTAAATTGTCTGGTATATCGCGGCGTCCATCCATTTAAGGAACTTGTATAGTATATATATACATATAATCGTCTACGTAATCTAACGCATTACATTATCCTTGCAAAAGAAGTTGACAGCAATACTTGTTTTCACTGTTGTTCAACTGCCAAACCAGTCACTCAAATGACGTCACTCCAGGATTGACGTCTTTTTCACGAAAGCCGTACTGTGATCGAGGAAGTCACATGATTTAATAATGTTACAGGCGACACGACATCGGTAGACTATCCCGCCATCTTTGTCACACGTCCGGCTTCCTCCTTCCCTTGTACAGGCGTAAGAGAACTAGAAGTGAGGCCTGGGGGAGAGGGGTGACTGGGGGAGCGGGGTTACTGGGGGAGGGGTGACTGGGGGAGGGGGAGGGGGGTGACTGGGGGATGTGGCAGTGGTCAATATGGAAAACCCCAGAGATAAGGGACAGTCTATTACACGGGGAAAGAATTGCACCACTGATTTAAATGCAACTATTCTATAGGTTTAACTTAAATGTTATTTGTGCTTCTTGTACCCCCATAAAAGACATGATAGTGAGAGGTGTCCACAAGGAGTCAGTAGTAGGAGGTTAAGGTAACGGTACACTTAACAAAACCTTAAAAAACCCACGTTCAGCTTTCGTCATGCCGCCTCTTCCAATACACACACAAAAAAGATTGGAATATATTAGTAATGTATATAATAGAATTTTGTATACATGAATGATAATACATATATTATGATGTTAAGAAGTATTATTAAAGAGATTAGAGTTAAAAGGTTGTATATATTTGAGCGTTCTTGACCATGTTTACGTCAGTCAGCTGAGAGCTCCGGCCTTAGGTGGATCACGGCGGATCACTGTAGCCTTATCTCTTTTATCAGTCGTATTTTATCGTTAACTCATGGTGTTATGACCACAAGTGTTGTAGTCGGTGCCAGAGTGTAGCAGTAACAACATCCAGGGAGCATACTACCTTTAGAAATACTGTTAAAAGACTTAGAGAAATTAAGGTACACGTGACCGCTACCAGAGGAGTCAGTTTGTTAAGTCACCACAGTACCACAGCCTCCACAGCACCGCCCATATTCCTCTATCATGAGTGTATGTTCTTTCCTGTTCCATACAAATGTTAAACCAAATCAATATTTTCGTTTCAGCCGAGTGATCGTTTTTGAACTAATTGAAATACGAATAAGAATGTGAAGTTGATTTTATGAATGATAGAAGATGGATACCGTCACACCTGTTAAGTAATAACCTTTATAGTGTGAGGTTTAGAGGCGATATTATATTACTGTAGATAAATTTTGAGACAAATCTTAACGTTAAGAGTGACCCTTATGGAGTTCACTTTGTGGTTGGTAGTGGTGGTTCCCGGTGTTCCTGAAGTAGTCTACCACTTTTGTGTTAAAAAAAATGTTCGTGATGTAAAGCAGATTAAATGATAAGTGTAATGGTAATGTTGTATTAAACGGGAATTTACTGAAGAATGGTACCATATATATTGCTGTTTTATATAAATTATCGTTCATAAAGTGAACCAAATTAACCTGCCTAAACCTGACCTTCTGCTAAATATTAACACCATATGATTTAGGTTAGATTAGTTTGGTTTATTTTAAGGTAATGTCTGAGAACAGCACTACCACCACAAGGAGTTCTTTGATTTTGTTCATTTTTTCCACAGAACCTAATAGAACCTGACCTGACCTTACCTAATTTGGTAAATATTCGTCCATTGGCTGTCCTCAGGTTTTGATACAAAAATATATTTTTGGAACGTATTATTGTGTGCTTTACTCAGATTTGACCTTCATTTCTTGTGAAAAATTAGCATTTAAAAAAAATAAAACTTCATTTGTAACCGAAACGCTAATTTGCACCAAAATGGCAGTCAGGTTTTAGCAAAACGCACTAAAAAAATCTAATCTAACCTAACCTAGCAGGGGGAACTTCCCTGCTACTGTGGTGGAGGATACTGCTGGGTGATCTGGAGGATGGAAGTGGTGGAGGATAGTTTCTTGATTCTTAAAATCTGATTAAAATAAATACAGTATGTGCCAAATATTTATTATAGTGCTCCCTCCTGATGCCTCAACACAACACCCAGGTTTTAATATTTTTTTACACAAGCATTCAATATTTTGGGTATGGACGCTGTTTTGTGGATTCACAAAGTTATCACTATGGTTAACAGTCAAATGTGAGTAACCTGGATCACTCAAACCATTAGGAAGAACAAAGGATCAGTAGTATTAATGTCTGAGCGTCACGTTGGTCGACAGGCAAGATTAATTTTCTTTTACATTCACCTTCTATACCTCCAAGCACCTACACACCGTTAATTTGTCGTCCTCTACCGGACTTAGATTTTTCAAATTTTGACTCGTCCAACTCCACAACATCCCTGAACCACTAATTGCTTTCTGATTATGAAACCAGTTCTCGAACACCTCCCCACAGAACAAATGCCAGTTAACTGTAGTCTCAGAACTAAGATCAACTTGGTTTTCAGCATAAAACTGTGGAAAATGTTATTTAACATAAGTGTTGCAAAACAACTTCTTGCTGGGTGATAAATTTGCTTTTGTGGATGCTACTCACATGTCCTTAAATAAACTGACCTGAAAAGCACATTCAATAACTCGCTTTGAATTCTTGTCAGTACTGTACACTTAGGACACAGTCTTGATGTTGGTATGCCAACCGAGATCTTGTAATATTTGGATTGCTTCACTTTTGTTCTGATAAACTCGCTGAATAACAGCTAGATAAGGGAGTGAACACTTATCACACACCATCACGAGCCTTCAAAATTGCGTGGTGGAAGGCCAATGGATGAATATTAACCCCTAACTTCTCTGTCCCCCCTGGATCCCCCGCCATATTAAACAGAAACTATCGTACTTATATTGATATTTGGTACCAATGAAGAAACTTTATTGAAGCATCATGGTGTAATTTTATGTTTTTTGTGTACATGAGAGCACACTCAGACCGAGCAGGTCAGTTGTAAACAATTGGCAGATGATAACATGCGCTGACAGCGGCAGATATTTTGGAGGAGTTTTTACGTTAAATAATTTCTTTGTGTACAAAGCACATAGAGACATCATTTTAGTTTCACATGTTCAGTTTTTCACTATGTTTTATCCTGCAATTGCCCTGATCCTTCGTGCACTGCCTACTACTGGTGATTTATGATTATATATATACAGTCGTGAAAAAAAAAATTAAAATTTAAAGTTGTCGCCCCTCTTAAAATACTTACTATAATAATAAGAACATCTGTGTAAAAAATTAACAAAATAGAACAACTCATTCTAGTGTTAGTGCTGTTCTCAGACATTACCCAGTTTATTAATGAAAAATTATATAAAATACTGGTAACAGTACAGGTGCTCCTCTATTTATGAATGAATTGCGTTCCTGAGGCTTGTTTGTAAGTCCAACTTTACTTTTGTAGTTACCAAACATATTGTAAAAATTGAAAAGATTATGGATATTTAGTACAGCTATACCCTTTAATACAGCCTTAAAACCTGGCTCACTCTTCTCCTCTTAGGTAATGTTTGTTCTATCTGGAATTTTCTTCAAAATAATCCAGTCTCAGCCACATTAAACACCTGTTCAGGCAAGTAACCCCCTCAGTGATGATGTTTGTATCTGAAAGTTTGTAAGTTGAACGTTCTTCAGTAGAGGAGCACCTGTATCTGGTACCTTAGAAAGCTCTAAAGGCGCTTCTCAATTTACACTTGTTAAATACAATATTATTTTAACTTTGAGTGGTAGAGGAGACAATAGGTTAAATGTGTTAGGCTAACCCACTTATTGGCTGTATTAACACACTTACTTTTATCCTCTCTGCCTCTCCATATATGGCATGTCTGCATTCAACCAGAGGTGGACTGTTCCACATGTGGCATCGTTTTTGGTAATACAGTACTGTACTCGACTGTAAATATTTTAATAAGAAATCCCATAAAGTGATGAGGATTTGCAATTACATAATATTATTTTGTGAATTTTTTGTCTTTGAACACTACTGTAGTATACGTTGATGCGTTATGGTGCCTCTCAGTAAAGACATCTTCAGTATTTTCAGCTCTAAGTGTTATGTTCCATACTGCTCCACATACACAATTAACCAAGGCGATGATGTAGATTAGTGTTCAGGACAAAACATTTTGTTAGAAATATGATACTGTACCCCCCTGTACTGTACTGTAATATCATGTAAATTGCAATTTCTAGTCACTTTATGGAATTTTCTTGAGGTAGGAAAGCATTCAGTAAATAATATAGAAATATTAGCTAAAGTTCCTGGTTAATGTGTGATACAGTATCCAGAAATACTGTACCAGGGTTTCTTAGGTTTGACTGTGACTGACAAGTTAAATAGTAAATCTAACCTTTAACAGATTTAGTTTATTTTTTACCCGATCCAAAGGGACAATTGTTTATAATTTTTGGGTAATAGTTTATGTAGAACGTACAATATAAAGATAAGTAGAGTGCTGTACTAAGGTTGTTTTTCGTCATGGTAGCTGTAGTATCGTGCTCTTCTCTTCAAATTGACAAAAATTTTCCATAGAAGATAAAAATATATAAAAAGTGCAAAAGGAATATGCTTAGTGATATATCAGTTTTGATGTGCGAAGTGGCTGGAGGAATATGGCTAAACACGACCTTGTCACCAGCGCCATGTTTAGACTGTATGAATTGTTCTTTTAACAGGAATGAATTTTAATCTATTTTAGAAGAATATACTGTACAGGGTACTGTACTACGAAATAACTGTAGTAATTTAGGTTAGGTCTGGTAGGTTAGTTTGTTCTTTTATGAACAAATATTTATTAAGTAAATATATTTTGCTACTTGCTAGCTACAGAATGTTACTTATGTTTTGAGCACCAATGGTGCCATTTTTAAAATCACTTAAATTTTTTCACCACAGTAAATTTCAGAAAGATGTTGTTGAGATAACCTGTTCATGTTGTTTAAGAGATTATGTCAGATGAAAAAACAAACTTGGGTTGCTATTTGATCACCGTCATATGTAAATAGAAAAGAAAATCTCTGGGAAGAAGAACAACAGCAGAAATCTCTGAATGAAACGAACCAATGGTTCATCCCAAGAAGGTACAGTATACAGTATTGTACGTATAAACGGAGCAGGGGGAGGGTCGAGAGCTGCTGCCTCTTCATACACGGAAAAACTTCAAAAATCATAAGTGAAGTGATGCAAAACACAATTATTGTTCATCTTTTTGTGTTTCTCAAGGTAAGAAAGTTATTAACTTCTATGGAGAAATTGTCAGGTTGCTGCTACGTTCGGACCTCACTCGCCAAGTTCTCTGTACTGGATTACCAATAAAGAAACGATGAACTTGACCTCATCTTATCAGTAATTTATATTTTTGACCCTTAGGTTAGGTTTTGGTGTTATGCTTTCCTTGATTTAAAGGTTATATATATACTGTATATGAATCTCAACAAAATAAGTTTTGAGTACTGGACTTATAGTCCAAAGGTTTAGGCCTTTTTATTACAGAGTTCAATGATTGGATTTTTTCCATGATGTTCAACTAATAATTGTCATCTATTACATTAATATCAACCGTGATTCTGGTCTTTATAATTACTGTACTGTACCATGGGTAGTTAAGCTGTAGGTTAGGTTATTCCTTTGACTAAACTACTGTACGTACATTGTAATGGTAATTGGTAATACAGTAATTTACAGTACTTTTGTTTTGCATTATAACTGCTGGTTACAGTACTGTACTATACTGTATTTGGAAATGTATATACAGTACAGTGGTAGGCTGAAATTTTTTTTTGTACCATCCCAGTACAGGTACAATATTACCAATCACCAGATGTCAATTTTGATATATGATGGTTCTGTTTTATTTAGTACGTACAGTAATTTATTTTGAAGTACTGCAACTACAGGTTTGTTTTAAAATGTAATACTACTAAATATTGAAAAAATGAGAATGAATGCAAATTAACCATGATGATGTAATTAGATAATATTGTACTATTGCATTTTGTATTTATTGATTTTTAAGACAAATTTGAATAGGACCAACCAGAAAATTCTTTTAATATTGGAACCAAAACTCTGGTGACATTCAATAATGGATCATTAACTTGTTTTTAAAATCGATGTGTATGGATCTAAAGGTAATAAAGTTTTAATTTTTTTTTTGCATACCCTGTACATTCAAAGACAGTACAGTGCAGTGCAGTAGTTATGGGGTGGAAGGAAAGCGAAGTTTACATATACGGGTATTTTTGACTAAGTACAGTGTTAATCTGATGAAATTGAAACCGTTTCATTTTCTCCGAATTTAAAACTACGTGATGTCAGAAGAAGAGAAACTGATAATGGAAATACTGTATAAAGTGACCTTGTGATGTGTTACTGTCGTGTTAATAATGATCTGTTATGGAAGGTGTGGGATAAAACAGGTAAGATAAATCCACCTACGTCACGATCTGCCTTCAACTGTTTGGTTTATTCCGGCACAGCAACTGGATAAACTCGTCAGTGTTGAGATGAGTGAAATGTATTTATATTTCACACACTTGAACTTGATGGAGGTTGATGAAGTTTGCTTTTGTATATTTAGTGGAGTGTTTGGTCTACTCTGTTGTGTGAAGGTAGATGGATAATGCTCTATTTTGTCTTTTCAAACTGGGCAACTTGTATCTTGTTTTGAACTTTATTCTACAGTATTCTTTTTGTTGGAGACAGGTGAAGTTTCTCTTATCTCTTGAAACTGTGAATTACTTAATTTTTTTTTTCTTCCCCCCTTTTTAGCTATGACCAGCCCATCATTTTGTAGGTTGGGTAAATTTAATTTTAGAAAATTTTCCCTTGTGTGAGTTGTGACCTGGTCTGAGTGATCATTTAAACATGTACTACTGTAGGTGTAATGCAACTGTGGTTAAGGTGTCCTGGGATGGTGTAGGTGTCAGCTTTTCATGGAAGATGTTTCTTGCAGGGTTACCAGGGCTACGGTCAGCCCCAGAGAGGCTACCCAGGCCAGGCTCCGCCTTCGGGCTATCCCGGCCCGGCTCCAGGGGTGAGGCACACTGTCCTTGCAGCATGGAGTGTTCAGTATTGATAATAACTGCTTCCCTTGTTATTGATCTCACAGCATGATGTAATGGCTTCGGGATATGGTGTTGTAAGGCTGGGCTTAGGTTGTATGGCAATAGTCAGTATGGTAAGACTAAATCGTAGCATGTGTTGGGTGTGTGTTGCAGGGGTCCATGGCTTTTGTTGAGCATTTGTGATATACACCTGCCAGAAGGTGTGTGTACACATTGCATTATAACCCATGAGTCATATGATAAAAGTATTCTGTTCTCTGTTAAGTATTGGTTTGTGTAACAAATCACAATCAATAGTTAATGCACAACGAATATAGAACATTATGCTTCAAAGGTCACTTAGCAGTACTGTACTGTAGTGCAGTAATTGACCTGTGGCCTCAACTGCCTGCTCTTACCTTGACACTGGTGTCCAGTTTTAGACGAGTTTATTCTCAGTCCCTGGTTGTTAGTCACTCTAAAATACTGTATACCAGTTGTTCCGTATACTGTACTTTTGATATAATTTGATAAATGCAGTAGTACTACAAGTGTGCATATATTTGAAGTGATTTAATACACACAGAAAAGGCCATTTACACATATATAAATAGCAGTTTACACGCAGAAAGGACAGCTAACAATGAAGTTGGACATTGGTACAATACAGTATTGTACTGTACAGTATTTTGGAAAATGGGAGATATGGCATTTATATTGAGTGACTTAACATTTAAAAGAGACAGAGTTATCCTGGGGAAGGCTGGTAAGGTGTTGGGTGTGGATAAGAGGTGAAGAAATGATAAGTTGGATGACAAGAATATACAGTATGCTGGGTTACCACAAGCCAGGAAATTTTTTGGCAGTTGGGAAAGATTGTGTTTTTAAAGGTTGGGGAATTCCATATAAACTTTCAGAATTTTATATTTTCCAAATTTCTCAATAACTTTGCTGAGAGAGACACTTCAATCCATGAAACCCCTTCTCTGATTGACATAGTGATCGGTGGACTGCTTGCTGTATATTGTGGGTGCCTTTTGCTCTGTTTCTGCAGTCCCTCTGTTATTTGGTCAATGAGTCTCCAGCAAGAAGATCTGACTACACAACAAAGTGTTTCCCGGCCAGTTCTGTGGTACACGATGATTGAAGATTGTACAGTAGCAGAAGGGCCATCTTGATCTGGAAAAATGTCAAAAAATATCCAGTCTGTTGTTCATAAGGCTGTTAGTGACCCTTTAGCTTAGTGTATACAGCAGAGATAATGTATATAACCCTTCCTTGAAATATTTCAGTCTGATAAACTGATGACATCAATCGTTGAACGAGAAGTTGGCATGCTCTACAGGTCTGATGGAGAACTTCATTACAAAGGATCTATTATTAGAAGATCAGTCAGACTCATTTTTATCACCCAAGAAAGTTGACATTGAAGTATGGAAAGTAGGGATTGGATTTGCTGTCAAAACCACTCTGGATAAAGAAGTTGGTGTCCCAAAACAAACTGAATTTAAGCACCAGTGTCTTTCATGCTGTAGATCCATCTTGTTCTCAATACTGTACATGTACACTTACAAAAAAATACTCTGAAACCATCCACAACGATCACTGAGACAGAAGCTGTAATGGGTGCCAACAGATTTCTTGGTCCGGTGCGTCATATTGTATAACCCTGTAAAGGTGCACAATAAACTTTCAGTGAGTGTACATGGTAAATCATGCTAGTTTTAGTGATACAAAGTTTGAAGAAGTTCTAACAACAATAATTGAGGAAACAATCTTGCAACCCGTCGAATGTGATGAGCTTTTGGAGCAGTACAAATTATTATCCGATCTAAGGAAATTAGAAGAGTAAGAAGATTGTGCTCAATATATTACAGTGGGAGAGCAGCTGGATGTTCTTTCTGTTAATATTATTGGCGAAGAAACTGAATATACCGTAATAAACCTTGAGAGTTGATTAAGATACGTTTTACCTTATCACGTATAGTGTAGTGGAAACAGACTAGTGGCACAATGAGTGATCTGTGATGGGGTTTTGAAGAAGAGAAGGCGACGTGTTAAAGGTGACTGTTACCAAAGAAATGTTGAGGTATTGTAGTAGATTTGGATATAAAACCTACGTAAGTGAGAAAATAAATATACGTAGAGTGAGCAAGACAGATATTATAGTGTTGAAACTGAAAAATCTAGACTGAAAAAAATAGATGCAGAGAAGAAAATGGAGCTTAAACACAAAAATGATTTGGAAAAGGAAGCTGATGATTTAGCAGAAAAAGAGAAGAAATTTGTCTATACAGGTATCCCCCATTTAACGTTAATTCACTTTAGCGATGAAATTTTTTGACACCGTATCTCACTTATCAGGTCAAAATTCAGTTGAGTGATACACTAAGTCCTCGCTTAACGTCGGGGTTACTTTCCTAAAAATGCGACGTTATACGAAACTACGTGAAGCAGATCAAATTTCCCCATAAGAAATTGATAAAATACGGGAGTTACGTTCCTGAGCCTCCCTTTGCCCAATGAAATACATTACATATACAGAAAATCTTTGCTATTTCTATATAAAATAATGCATACATATACAACTACCAAGTTTGTGTTGGTAGTCACCGATGGGCGGAGGTGGTGAAGCAGAGGAGGGGGAGGGTGGAAGCAGAGGAGGGGAGGGTGGTGAGTCATTGAGACTGCGCCAAGCCGAGAGAGCATAGCGTGGCCAGACGATTGAGGGTGATGCACCGTAAAATTAAGTCTGTGATGACACAAAACGACGTAGTATTGGATCTCCGGGACATTAAACAAATTTTTGGTCTCAAGTTTTGCAACGTAGTACTGAAACAACGTTAAGCACAGACTTACTGTGTCTTGACTGGCTGGGGATTCTGAGCTCCAATTGCTCATCTCTACTGTGACTTGTCTTATGTTTACTATGTGCCACCTATCCACCCACACTAAGTGTTTACCACCTGCCGTTTGATTGTTTGCTTTCCATGCATCGCTAATATCCCTGTATATAGTATCGCTGTGCATCACTGTTATTGTTGTGACTTTTATGGGTTATTCAGTACTGTACTGAGTTTTGGATATTGTGTAAAGTGAGAGAATTTTGAATAATGTTGTGTGAACTTGCTGCTGTTTCACCTGCCTTCTCAGGCAAGGCCAAGCTCTCCCACAAGTCCATGAGCTTGGAGGTGAAGCTTGACATTATACTGTGTTACGAGAATGGTGAAGGGTCGAGCTCCATTGCGAAAGCATTTTGCCTTACGCAGTCAGTGGTGTTGACCATAATTAGGAGGACACTTGTGCTGATGGCTGCTGTTGAGCACATAGCTCTAGGATCATGAGAGTATGTGATCCAATTATGGATAACATGGAGCAGCTTTTGCAACTGTGGATTGAGGACCAGAGTCAACACTGAATGCCTTTCTCAACCATCACCATTACAGCCAAGGCATCAAAGCTGCAGGAGGTAATGAAGAAGGATGCGACCCCAGGGAGTACTACTGTTGAGTCACTCAAGGCCACTGCAGGATGGCTTGAGCTGTTCAAGATGATGAGGTGGGTGCTCAGGCCTTCCAAGGCTGCTCTGGAAGAAAATGCCCTTCAGGACCTTCATTGCCAAGGAGGAGATGGTGGCACAGTGGTTCAAGGCAGCCAAGGACTGTCTCACTGCTGCTGAGGGTGACCTTAAGCTGAAGCCGATGCTCGTCTCCCATGCTGAGAACCCCAGGGCACTGAAGGGTTACATTAAGGGCCATTTTTCATCATTTAACACTCTTAACTCCAAGGCATAGGTGACCACTGAGCTGAAGGAGTACATCAACAAGAACATCACTAATATATTTCTCCTGATCCAAAATAATGCACCTTTGCACCCTGCCAGTATGGAGAATTGGGCTGACAACACTGTCAGTCACGTCTCTGTTAGGCACTGTGGCACAACTACAACACTAAGAAGGCAACCAACAACATTGGTGCGTGGAGTGAGGTGAAATCATCAACACTGAATGGTGTGTAGCCCGAGTGTGTGTACACTGGGTTCGAGAGGGAGGAGACTCAGAGCAACATTGTGACTCTCGCACCAGGCTGGGTTTGAGGAGATCGACCAGGAAAATGTGACTGAACTTCTCTACAGCTACACTGATGAGCTCATCAACCTGGAACAGCAGTGAGTGGTGGAAGAGGAGGAAGTTGAGTTAGAGGAGCCTGTCAGGTTCCTCACCTCAGTATTGACATGTTTCAGCTAAACCTCTCCATTATTGATGACGTCCTTGCTAGTTCCCTGAAAATGACCCAAACCCAAACTGGAGTGCTGAGGTGAAGCGTTTGGTAGAGAAAGGCATTCAGTGCTACCGAAACCTCTACACTGAAAAGTGGCAGAAGTACCAGTTATCCGTCATCTACTTCTTCAAGCTGAAACAAGAGCCAACGACACTCGGCACCTTCCATCTCAAGCATCACCCGCTTCAGGCCAAAAGCTCTCACCCGAAACAGTGCAGACTCTCCAGCCTCATTTTCCGACGTGGAGAGTGAGTGACATGCCTGCCCTAGCAACATTTGTCCTCCAGCCTTGGAGAAGATACACGATAACGAATTTGCTCCCGGTGTGGACTTGTTGAGTGTTACTATGCTGTAGTTTACTATTACAGTAGCTACAGTAAACTATTGTTACGGTAAATGCAGTGTATTTAGGTGAAAAGATTCCTCAAAGACCGATTCTCCGTGTTAATCCCTCATTTAGTGATAATTTTGCTAAATGTTAGGTTTTCAGGAACACAACCCCATTGTTAAATGAGGATAACCTGTAAAGCTTCCTTAGAAATTAAAGGTGTTCGGGAAGATACAATTGCAAAAATGGTAAAACTTAAGGATCAGTTGAAAAAATTGAACTGTATTGCTTATTGTACAGCTACATCTCATTGAATTCCCACAGCCTGTCATGCCTTGCTTGTTTGCCAGGTAGAGTACTGTATTACAGTTACTGCATTGAGCACATTTAAAGACGAGATTTGCTTCTTTAGTAATGTATTGTACAGTATTTCTCTTTGGACATTGTTTTGCACAGGTTACAGTGTTCACCTATTAATTCTATTTTATTTGCATTATATTAATTTTGTATCTTGTGTTCAGTTGTGAATTATTGTTTGTTGAGTTCATGTAATAATTAATATAAAAAAAGGTCCATTGATTATAAAGTGGAGGCTATAAGGGGAGGAGGAGGCCTCAAATCCTTACATTATTTGTTATAGATTAAGTTTTACCAGACCACTGAGTCCTTATACTCATTTGGGTTAGCTGAAGAATTTAGGTTTATTCAGTTTTGATTATTTGTTTTGTTACAGGACAGTTGTCACGTTTCATGATAAAGTTGGTTGATGAACAATATGTTGGTGATGGTTGGTAGTGTTCCCTTGGGGTTAGCTCTTCAGGTGGGAACTAAATCTTCCCATGGTCAAGGCCAGAACCCCTGATGATGAGTAGTGCAAGAATGTAGGTGAATACATCCTCCAGTGTGTGACCACCATATCCTGCCTCACAGTCACTGGAAACATCAACTCAAACTTTTTCTGTCTCCTTTAAAAAGTCAGGAATTTGTCACAATTCAGTTAGGAAAAGTCAGGGAATTTATTTTGTTATATTTCTGTGGCAAACATGATACTGTATGTTGGAGGGAAAGCTGAAGATTAGACACCCCAGCTTATTTCACCTGATGATTAACCTTCTGTTACTCTTGGCTGTGGTCGGAAACCTCACCCCCTCGCTGTCTTTCGTCACAGGTTACGTCGGTAACAGGAATGTTTTTTTTTCTTTTTTTTTTCTTCATTTTAGTAAACATTGGGGAGAGTGATCCAGACCCAAACTGCACCCTAGAGATGCATCTGCCAGCCCACGAGGCTAGTGGGAGGAACTTAGGTGGTTGATATGGCCGGTCCACTGTTCCTGCATTTCTGCTTACAGGAGGGGTACTCTCAGTGTGAGATATGCCTGAGCAGGAGGGGTCAGGCCAGCACAGGAACGATTAGTGATTCAATTTGCGTCGAAAGACCACGAGAGGGTTAAACACCCTCAGTTACCTTCCCCCCAGGAAGGTAACTGTTTCCATATTTCAAAATGAATGTGATTTGTCTGACTGAAAATTTAGTAATCCCTATATATACAATAACTGTGAACTGTATAACATTGTACATGTATACAGTTATTGGGAATCTTTGAAAGATTTTGATATTACGCATTTTATTGAAATTAGCAATGATGTACTAAATGAATATGCTATTTCCTAGTGATCTCTTAATAATTTAATAATTTACATTAAAAAATAAGATGTGGTGAATCATTAACACTGTACACACAAGACTGAAGGTTTGGCAGAGTGAATTAAATTAAACCCTAAATACTGTACTGTATCTGGTAACATTGTAAGACCTTAACTGAACATACTTGCTACATTCTTCAAGAAAAACCATCATATTTGAGTAAACTTTCTATATATGACTTTGCATAGATAAAATTGATGACTAAACCAGCAGAGACCTTACATGTGGTATTTGCAGCTGTCACTGAGGCAGCCTTGCAATGTTGTGGTAAAGAATAGTTTTCAGAGTTGATTTGAAGATTTATTTTTGTTGTCAGTCAAAGTTATCATCTGTCTTTGCCCTTTCAAGTTTTACCTGAGTCTTTATCACCTCTAATTCACCACTTGTACCAGTCCTTAATGAAATGTCACAACTGTGAGATTTAGACTTCACTACAGTCATGTTCTGCCATTGTGTCAGCACAGTACTGGAGACCCCTGACCTCTGAACCTATGTGTAAACCACTGTATGTAAACACTCATGGCACACTAGAGAGCCTTATTGTTCATCCCCTGTTGTGTTGAAGACAGGCAGTGGGAGGGAGGTATGGAAACACAGTAATAATGTTCCTTCCGTCTTGTGACTGATAAATAGATGTAGAGTTTTGATGACATATCGTACAGTATTGTATGTGGATGTATCCTGACATGATCATTGTTCAGTTTGATAATCATTGTTATTCCTCCATATTTTGAGAAGTTATGGTCCATTTTGTCGTCGTGATGAGCTTGTTTCTTGTGTTGTCCGATCTTACTTGTGTTCCTATTATTGATTTCCTCTCGTGGTCTTCTTTATTTTTCCTGGTAACACATCTAGTTCTTGCTACATCTGGATTTGTGTTGTTGTTGATGGCTGCGAGGGCTTTCATTTTAATTTTTCCCGGACAGTCATTAAAGACTTGAATGGAAATTGTCACAGGGGATACTTGTACCTTCATTGGTTATAGTGTACAGTACATTGATATTGCAGTACAGTCTACCAAAATGAGGTTTACTGATAATGGTGTCGATTGTTAAATAGGTTTGTCTCATCTCACCAACAGGCACCACCACCTTCAGGCTACCCAGGTCAGCAGCCCTATGCTGGAAGCTACCAGCAGGCTCAGGGGGGCTATCCAGGCCAGCAGCCTCAAGGATATCCTGGCCAGCAACCCCATGGAGGTTATCCTGGCCAGCAGCCTCCTCAAGGATACCCGGGACAACAGCCCCAGGCAGGTAGGAGTCTATATGGGACCTCCTGGTGTTTGTTAATTTGATTTGAATTAGTGTTATTTTATACTGAACCATCCACATTAGACACAACTAAATGCTGTACTCAGCATTGATCTCTCTTTTTAATTGTTCCTGTGATTCAGATATACAGTATTTTAATTCTGTTTTATTTTTGATAGTTTGTTTCAATAGTTTTCAAACTGGTTTACATCCAAGTGGGGTCAAAAGGTTGAGCATTAGGGGTCATTTTTTTATGATTTCTTCCAGGTTTTCAGACAGGGCTGTAGTACAGTATTAGTAAAGGCTCCAGTACCACAAGGTTATTCTGAATGTCGAAATTACACTGACAGGTTGGATATATATTGTTCATATTTATGTTAATGAGCTGACTGCCTGCATATTATCTGTATTTTCAAGAAATTTCTCTGAAAAAATGGGGGAGGAGGGGGAATTCCAGGAGGGCACATGGCTTCCCCCTCCTTCCCTACCTGTATGTTGATGCTTACCCCACTATCTAGCAGTCTGTAGTTCCTTTAAATTTTCATAACTTGAACCTAAACACGAGTAAAGGTGAGGATATGAATCTCATTACAATAATACAGTACTGCACCATGTCAATACCTGTTGGAGTCTTTGAGTGTTAGTACATCTGTTCATTGTGTAACTATGGGGAGGTTTATGACTTTTACTTGAGTAGAAAATATTATCAATAACTTTTGCACTTTTGAATGTTTCAAAGGGAGAAAAGTACATTAGTGTAGTGTATTTCCCTTGTGTTTTCCTCTCTTAGGATACCGTGGAGCTCCCCCTGGCATGGACCCCAACATCGCCTCTTGGTTCCGTAGTGTGGATCAAGACAACTCCGGAGAGATCAACGCACCGGAGCTGAAACAGGCCCTGCAGAATGGCAATTGGTCGCAGTTTTCCGATGAGGCGTGTAGACTCATGATTTGTGAGTACTGTACTGTGCATTTGTTTTGTGATAAGTTGATAGCTTATTATGAGTAATTAGTATACAGAACATTAATAATAATGGTTAGATTACTGAAAGTAGTCATTATTTAATTTATTTTTGTTAATTAGTATAAAGGATGTCTGATAATATTGGTTAGATTATTGTAATTTTTCATTATTTGTACCATTAAACATGTTGATGCTCAGCTGTGCCCCAGAAAACACCATATAATATATAATTTACCTGGTATTCATTTTACTGTAAACAAGCATGGAACAGTTCATATTGGATACAGGAGTCCTTCACTCAAACAGCACTGGGGATTGTGTTGCTAGCGGAAGTCTGTGTAAGTTAAATTGGTGGAAACAAAGATACAGTACAGTAAACCCTCTCAGTAGGGGATATCTTTTTGTCTGGTATAATTATTGGACTCAGTCAGGATTTGTTAATGGGAACATCGTCCACTATTGACCAGATGCACTGCCTTTAATGTGCCTCAAAACCAACACAAAGGTGATGTTTGCAAAATGAAAACAAACTGCTGACTCATGGTTTTTAATGGAGAGAGTGCCCCTTCCCCATTGTGATGACTGTCTGGTCCCATTGACTGTTTGACATATCCTGGTGGAGTGCCCCAGTCTCAGAGATCTTCGTAAACACCTCTCCCAGTGCGGGGGGACGGGTCTTACCATCTCTCTTTGGTGCTGGGGGGAGGTGGATAATGTGGGAGGGGACGTCCTCGCTGGCCTTCTGCACAAACTTTTAATTTTATCTATTCACGTTTAGATATTTTTTATGAAAGTTCTATGCTATTTTTATTTGTTTTTTTTACCTTGTATTCTTTGATTTTAGTCTTTTACGCTTTTATTTTAATTCACCAACATATGACCTAATCTATTGTGTCACCAGGGAGGTAATTACCACAATCAATCGATCAATCAGTCCTTAATTTTTTATATTCTTATGAGATTTATTGCTTCGAAAACCATTGATTCCCTGTGCATTAACATTTCGTAGTCCACATATGCGTTGGCTATCGAGGTATACCTGTATTTATATACATTTTTTTTTATGTTGCAGCAATGTTTGATCATGACCGCACTGGCACCATCAACATCCAGGAGTTTGGACAGTTATTTACCTTTGTCAGCCAGTGGACGGAGGTGTACCGCCGCTATGACCATGACAACTCGGGCACCATTGATGAAAATGAGATGAACACAGGTGAGTACAGTACAGTACTTGTAGAGTAGAGTACAGTACTTGTAGAGGCTGTAGTAAGGTGAGGTGAGATTAATACAAGTGGTGGAATGGGAGGTGTGAGAGAGAGGAAGAGAGTAGTAAATTAGGGAGGTAAATAAAAATCAAGAAAGGGAGAGCTATAGAGTGTGGGATAGTACTGAGAGAGAGAGATACAGCTCCTACATATCATCAGTCATAATTGCCTAACTCATATTTAGTAGTTTTCAAAAGGCACCTGGATCAGCATGTGAAAAATGCCTAACTAACACTACTGATTTAGGCAGATGCATATTTTTGGCTGGAAATAGATTTGTTTGTTAATCACTTTGACACTTCTGCAGCAGTTGCACCTGCTGATGGAGAGATGAGTTCGGCATAAGGCTCAATCTGGCAGAAAATTGAGTTAGGCAGTCATGCAAGCCGGTGAGAGGGTAGTGAGCTGGACTGGTACAGGATATGTCAATCTGGAGTTACAAAAAATATTTATTTTTGTTTCATGATTATGAATGAAAAATCCAAAGTTATGAAAAATAATTTCACCATTTTTGTAAGTTTTCCTTAACTACAATAACATGAAATGTCAAAATAAAATTAAATAAGAGAAAAATTTTCTTTATCGTTTAATTTTGCTGCTGATTATGTACAACAAAGGTTTAGAGTTATGAGAAAAGGTGTGGAATTTGGAAGTGAACAAAAGTGTGAAGGTGTGGTAATTGTCGGCAACACACATGAGAGCATAAGTGTAGCGTCAACTGACTGATGGCAGTGTTCATGCTATGTTAACAAAGTAGCAGGAATTTTTACTTCGCTGTTCTCGGTTATTCGCGGGTGACACCTTGGATGTACTCAAGAATGTCTATGGGTAGTTTTAAAGTTGCCGGCATTTTCACGGCTGGGACAGGGAGCCTTTCATTCTAGAAACGGTAATTTCCTTTACCTGTAGTATTGTAAATATGTGTGTGTGTAGATGCACACATACAAGTAAATAATGATGGAAAATACTCTCACAAATAATCAGAAACAAATTTATTAAAAATTTGACAGTCTACCCTCAAGTCCGTGCTCTATTAATAAAGTACAGTACTCTAGTAGAGCCCGGAATTAAGGGTAGACTGTCACATTTTTAATAAATTTGTTTCTGATTATTTGTGAGAGGATTTTTCCATCATTATTTATTTGTATGTATTTTGTGCATGTATGTGTGTGTACACACACACATACAATACTATAGGTAAAAGAAACGAGTTTCCTGGGGGCAAACACATAAAGGGAATATACATTTCTTTGTACACAAGTAAAAATGTTTATTCGCAGATTTGGCGATTCGCAGCCTTTTTGAGAACCTAACCCCCACAAATTTGGGGGTCCCCTGTACTGTATTTGTGGCATTTTATCTCAACTTTTATGATGGGAGTCTCTTGAAAAATGTGATCCTAAATACAAAAAATCAATTTATGGAAGGTGTTTCAGGAACAACACTTTGGCAAATGGGGGAATACCTGTACTGGTTTTGTGTAACTTTTGACCATCCCTTCTGCACACTGTCAGGACTTACTCCAGGGAATCTTATGCCCTTCACACAAATTTCTGAGAGCTGTACAGTATTGAAGTTAATGGGACTTTAATTTTATTTATCCTTCATTTTTCATTTACAAGATATTTTACTCTTTGACCAAGTTGATTTTTTAACACATTGTGGACACAGTTGATGTTGTAAATATCTATACGTACTGTATGTTCATACTTGAAAGGGCTAAATTCAAACAATATTTTCTCCCCTGGCAGCCCTGCAGCAGATGGGGTACCGTCTTTCCCCTCAGTTTGTCAGCTTCCTGGTGTCCAAGTTCTCACCCAGGATGAGGAAGGTGACTCTGGATAACTTCATCGTCAGTAATATTCAACTTCGCAATTTAACAGAAGCCTTCAAGAGCCGTGACTGTGAGATGAAGGGTATCATCAGCATTTCCTATGAGGACTTTGTCTCCCTCGCTTTTACAAGCCTTATGTAGGGTTGGTTTTGTGCTGGTTGTCACACTTAATAGTAATTGCATTTTTTTCACCAAATGTCAACAATACTGTAAGGAGATTATCTTTCAGTTTTCACAATAAATTGTTGGATTATTTACAGATTCTACGAAATGGCATTTAAATCTCCCTTCTCCTGAAATAGTTAGTTTTCAGGAGGTAGGTGGAAGATTGTGGCCTTAGCTTAGATAGTTGTAATATTAATTTGCTCATTTTTTTACTATTGATTTACTCTAGCATCCAATGTCCTGCCATTACAAAGTACTAATTCATCTTGGTATATAAGTATTATGTGTTCTTATGTACTGAGTATTACCATTATGATCACGATATACAATGTATTGTTACACGTAAATTATTGAAAACAAATCTTCAATTTGATTATAATTTGTGTTATGCTGAGGTGCTGTAATACCAGGGAATACACTACATTAGTATAGCATGCAGAGCTCTGACTGTAGTCGACGTGTTCAGTATTGGTTGTTAAGAGAAATGGTGGTAAGGTGGTTGTACTTAGCTCATGGCTTGCAAACTTTTTTAGCTTTTGTAACTATTGTACTGACCTGTTCTTTAGCTAATGAAGTAAAACGATGGTAATATATATATTTTTTTGCTGTTACTAATTAAATGAACTGCCCTTTCATTCGCTTAAGGGGTAGTGATGTTATTACTATCTATATTTATAAAGGTTTTTAATGTTTGTCAATAAATGATGCAGTTTGATTATGGCTCTTTATTATATACTGACAAGTAGAATCCTCTTAGAAGTTCACACACAGCCTTATAGCTCAGTATCTTCATATTAGGTGTATAGTTATGCCTACTAACAAGAGTATTAGATTGTTACTCTTTTAGGATACTCATTTCAGAGTTGCAGTAATTGTATTGTAGTGATAAACCTAAAACACTACCATCAGCACCTCTCTCTAACTGATACAATGTTCTGTACTGCTGTAGGATGGCATGTGTCAAATCTCCTCACAACCAGTTAAACAAAAGCTGCACTATCAACATCACTAAAGCTCATCGTACTTACTTCATTGTGGCCCTTCTACCATAACTTTAGTGTCTTACTGATGTACAGTACAGTACTTCCATATACTGTATACTTATTACTTGTGCTCACATCAATACTGCAGCTTTTACCTTAATGTCGTCTTTCGGTAAATCCCTCTCGCATAATTCTTCACTTGGTCAACTCCACATCCACATTATAGAAAATCAGGTTCAACTGCTAACTCTTTATTTCAACTATACAGAGTCATCGACTTCCATCCACCCGCACTTACGCTCATTATATCAATATCTTTGTCTTAAGACTCACTTGACAGCTTTCTTTTCTCTTTTATTTTTATATTCATACATTTAACCATATTATCTGTGCTCCACCGAACAACTAGTGTGGTAATACAGTACAAAACCTATGTCAAATTCTAGTATTTTTCTAATGAAAGAGTTTGAATCCTCTCCACCTCCTCCTTTGGTCATGTTCTATATAATTAACCTCATCATAAAAAAGTCATCCCATAAACAGACATACAGTAGTTTACCATTTTTTTTTTTAAACAATTACATATACCCTGTAGATAATACATTATTACAGTTATCCCTTGCTATACCAACATTCTAGACTTGAATATTCGCTTGTACGTATTTCCTAAATTGTCACCACAATTTTGAGATACAGAAGCTTTCCTCACTTGTGTAAATTTGGGTCCCGGCCAAAATTAAAATTGTCAAATCACGCGCCCCCGGGAGTCAGCCTAAGCGGCCACATCCCCCAAGCACACACTATACCAGGCTGAGGTAGGGGTTTATGTTATGGTTATTTTTCAACTTGTATTTTCGAGTAGATAAACATAACTTTCTTTCATATTTTTTTATTCAGTTACATGCACACAATCCTACATACAGAATGTAGAAAAATAATTATCATAAGGTTAAAATGATAAAGGGAACAAATATTTATTCGTGCACCAGCAAGAGTTAGCAAGATGAGCTGGGGGTTATGATTATTTTTCAACTAGTTATTTCGGGTAGGCAAACTTAACTTTCTTCATATTTTTTACTCGGTTACATGCACACACAACCCTACATACAAAATAAAAAGTAAATGAAATAACTATCATAAGGTAAAAATAATAAAGGGAATATACTGTAAACATTTCTTTGTGTGTGAGAATGGGAGGGGGAGCATCCCCATTTGGGCTGGGTTGCCATGGTGAGGCTTGAGGGCAGCCAAACATGACAAAGCCAGTGTATGCAAATGGCAGCTGTGTTGAACTTTGATTAAGCTTTACCTTAATGTTTTAGCTGCATATTTTAATCTAGATAGTATTTTATTAATGTATTTAATGTGTTAAGTAGTAAATTACAGTAGTTGTGTACTATTATCATTGGTTAGGTAGGTTTTTTGTTGTTCGTGAACCAATTTCATGTTTTTGGGTACGATATTGGGGTCTTCTTGTCATTTGCGAACCGAACCCTATTTTTTCCGTGTATTCTAATCACTATACAAAATTCACGTAACCCTTAAAGGGCGGCAGACATCATAATTTTGATGTTTAGGTTTTTGTGCCATTGTTTGGGTGGGCTCATGACTGTGTTGTTGTCTGGTTACTATGATGACGTTGGTGGCTCATTTCAGAGCTGGAAAAACATGTACTCTCTGTTCAACTCATGATTTCTCCAAGAAATTATTATTTCTTGTGTTTATTAACTAAGTTTGAATTTGTAGAAAAAAGATTCAACTTTCAAATGGTGCCCCCAAAAACCTCATTTAGGAAATATTATATGTTTTTAAACACATTACCTTACTGGGCATACAGTGAACATATAAATATATCTACCTTTTAAGGGTTAATGAATGGTTTTCAGGAACCTGACCCATTTGTATAGCGATGGATACCTATGTACTAAGGGACTTTTGAATTATGGTGCAAGAACTCAATTTGTAGATACACACTTGGAGAGGTTACTTAGACAGATATAAATACCTATATGGGTGGAGTGGTTAAAGGGTAAAGAGTGATGTCATTTAATAATTCTTAAATATATATTTCCTTCTCTCTTATTTATATATGATTTTTTGTAACCATACTACAGTACTGTACTGTATTGTACAGTACTGCCATTTTCACAAACCTTCCACAATATGTAATTCTACAGTGGCTTAACATCAGTCATTCTTAAAGTTATCTCGACTGGCGTCATCTTCTGATGTGTTGCACCAGTATATGAGTTTGATCTACAGAAGCACATTTGAGGGGAGAACTCAGTGATTGTTCTCTTGGTTTTTCTTGCTTGCTTGCCTGGCCAATGTCTTAGGTACATTTTGAGTATGGAACTTGAAATTTGGACACATTAGTACAAGTGACATGGGAGGATAGTTTACTGTACATTGAAAATACCACTACAGTGAAACCTCCATATAATTGACTTCTTTCTCCATGTAATCCATTGAATGCAGGTTCCCATCTCATGGACCCTCGATATAACGGACTTCCATCTCTATATGAGTATAGTTCGTTAGATGGGGGTTCCACATCTAATGGACCCTCGATATAACGGTGTTTCCTTTCCATATAGTCCGTTAAAGAGACATCACCGTACTTGTCTATCTTGTATCTTTATTCCATTCCCATATTTGTGTGGGATGGGTCAAGAGATACAGAGGCCTCAGTTGGGGAGAGTTGTATCAGACAAGTGGAGAGTGACGGGGAAGGGTTATGTAATTGAACATGATAGCAGTTCTGAGCTTGTTCCTAAGCATGGCATTATTATACACCACTAACAATATAAATAGCAAGCCATTTAAATATTGAAAACTCTTTATAATATATAAATATTAAATATTTTGCTCCTTACCTCTGTTTTTGTTTTGCAACTCCTCCTACTTGTGTCAACCTCACTTAATTTATATCTGTAGGTAGAATACGTGCACCCAGTCAAAACAAAGAAAATCTAAACCAAACTGTCTTTTTTTTCTTGCACCATTAATTACTATCGCCAAAATCAAAACCATTCAGTATAGTAACAAGTAGTGTATAGTAGTACAGTACTGTAGTATTCCATTTTAGTGGTAGGAGGTAGGCTGTATTTTGTCTCATCTGTCAGAATTTACAGAATGTAATTGTTAGTTCTCTTGATATTATGTCTTCAGAGCTATGAAAATGGGTCCCACACTATGGGGATAACATATTGTAGTTATGTAGTAGGAGTCAAGAGCCATATCTCAAAACAAATGCAGTAATTGAATTTTCCATAAATATTCGGTGATGAAACTTGTACTCAAAGGGGCAACTGATTTGTATTTTTACTTTAAACCATGACTACAGAATAATCAGTCTGCCCCTGTGCACAATATGAAAAATAAAATGTTGAAAACCTGTTATATTCTTATAAAACTAAAGGTATGCATGCATATGAATAAAAATGTAAAATATAAATAACCAGTACATACATTTGTTGAACTGTGGTGAGTGTTTTAAGTGAGCATGTAAAGGACTGACTTTTAGGGGGTGGGGGAGAAAGAGTCCATCAATGGCAACAAATGTGCATCTTTCATGTTGAAAAGGATAACTGAGAGCCCTTAGAGGTGTGGATAGCGGTCTCATATCCTGTGTAAAGTGAAATGTTTGCCAAATGGCAATGCAGTATTTTTTCTTTTATTTATTATTTTTATTTATTCCTCACATTTACTGATACAGTATATTACTTTATGTACAAATAGCTTCTTCCACATGCAAACCATCCTCTCATCCTCTGGGTGACATGACACAATTCAACTGCTCAGCCTGGCAGTCACCAGGGACAGCCACAGCCTCCCATGCACCTCGTTTGGGTTGCACTTGTTACACCATTCCGAGATTGTGTCATCATATCTCGGATTACTGTATTGCGAGTTATTGTGCATCACTTTTTCATAGCAGTGACAATGCAGAAGAAGCATTCATCCGCTGTCATATTTTCTCAACACAATTTTGTATAGATAGACTTTTAAGTGACTACAGAAAACTTGTTTGTGATATCAACCAACTAAGTTGAAATGTGAGGTTCAGTTATCTTTACTGCACCTGGCCACATTATTTAGGTACACACTATATTAATATAATTGACAGGATGAGGCAGTATGTCATCCTCGACTGCAGTTAGACATTGCACAACACCTTTGTTTTGGGTCAGTCAATATGGTGCTGGGCTCTAACAGGCTCTTAATATCATCAATCAACATGTACCAGTAATCTTGGGATGGATACAGAGACAAACTTTGATACAAAGGTAATGGCATTAAAGGAATAAGAAAAAACATATTTAGATTATTTTATTAAGCATATAAGTAATATTTATAACTATGGAAGAGTTGTATCAAGAGAACAGAAGAATTACAGTATACTGTACCTGTATTGGAAAACCAGCACAAGGAGTTCTTCACTAATTATTTTAATACATAATTTTATGTTGCAGTGCCTAACACCGAGAGGTGGTCACTGGTTTGTGTGTTTAAGAGCATAATTAACATGTGGCTTTTTCAGGAAGGAGAGTTAATAGAGGGCAAACAGCTTCAAACACATACAGCACACAAGAGGTGGTGTGAGAGTTTGAGCAAGGTGGATGTACTGTACAGAGGATGTAAATTTTATAGAATTCATAAGTGTGCGGACTATTGATCTTTATAAAAAAAAATTAACTCCAGATATTTTAACAGAATGTAGAATACTGTATCAAATACTTAATTTAATGTACAATATTAGATCAGGTTTTTTCATTGGGGTCAATAAAATTCCTTTAACTGGAAATTATATTTCAGTTGCTTGAATCTAACTAAAGAGTGAAGAATAATACAGGTATCCCTCGCTATCTGAATGATCGCTATTTGAAAATTCGCTTATCAGAATTTTCTATTCATATGCAATCCGAAGGTGATATTTACTTAGCTGGATATTGGGCCAATTGAAAATAAATTTTTGCATGCCAAGTGAGGCTATTTTGGTTCCCAGAAACAAAGTATTGTACAGTACCAACTGTATAAGCATTTTATTTAGTTTTATATTTTTTTTAAGGAATAATAGATTTTTGTGTGAACTGAATCCATTTGTTTTAAGGTATATTTTTGGTTCATGAACCCAATTACCAGTATCTTTTGTAGGTAAAATATTGTTTTTGTTTTGGATTTGTTTGGAAACCAAGCCCTATTTTTCCCATTTATTATGTTTTTCACTACTGTATCTGAAAATTCAATAACCAAATGGTTTTCAAAGAACCTAACCCATTAGGATAGTGAAGAATACCTGTAATTTCCAAAACTAACTGGAAGCAAGAAATAAACGGATAAAAATGGTTGCAATTACTGCAAGGATCACTAGCAAAGCCATTAACTTGAACTACAGCTTTATAACACTACTCTAGATTCTCTATTAGCGTGTTGAGACGTTTATTTTTGTTTTGTTTTTAGGAAATCAAGTCGGGAGTATAAAAGTAAACTAAGTTTTTGGGTGGTTGGAATTTTTTCCTCTTTTAGAAATTGCAACAGCTAATTCTAGTTTCAGAATACGAGAACAAAAAAATCTAAAACTTAGAGGAAGTTAGTAAAGAGTTTTAGAAAGTGGGTGAATTTAACGTATTCCAAGAGTGCAACTAGTGAAGCAATTATAACTTCTCAACTCTGGATTCTGAACTGGAACAGTGAAGAGAATATATTTTAAAATTTTTAACAATCTCGGTTTTAAAGATGACAGAACACCCAAGTTTCATCTTTCTCTTTGGTTGAAATTTTTTTGTCTCAAAACTGAAAATTATGGTTTGGTTACTTGATTTTAATAACATTGTAAAAATGACAAAAACTTACTGGAAGAAAGCAATTAATATTTTGAACTGGGGATCGTTTTTGTTCTATGACTATTCAAATTTGATGCAGTTTAAATTAAGGGAGAGATCTAGGCTGATAGTATACAGTATATAAGAGTAAAATATGTTAAGTGATTGGAGATAAGAGAGTGTTGGGAGGAATGGATGCTAATGTACAGTTATCAGACATATTTATATAAAAGCTAATAGATATTTTAAGTTCTAATTTCTTTTGATATGAATACAGGGACTATAGTGTGTACTGTACCTTAGTAACATAAGCTGGGTGTGACTGTACAATATGCTACATATCCAAAACAGACACTCCGGTTACCAAGACTATTATGTAGCATATAGTTTTAGATTTATATACTGAATCCTAATATCGGTGGGTTTGTATTTAAAAACGGTACAGTACTATGAAATTTATTAATACTGTAGTTTTTTAATATTATATGTATTTAACTTTTGTAAGGTCAGAGTGGCTGTAACGGTACAGTACAAATCTATGGCAAAGAAACACTCCAGTTACTAATATGTTGTGTTTAGAGGAAATAGTAGTGTGTTTAACTTCCTTAGCTCTGTGTAGCTAACATTGTCTGCAAGTTGGGTCTGCCTCCTACCACTGTTCGTTCCATACAGGCCAAAATTGAAAAGAGCCAAGTTGGTTACTGTATTAAACTTTCGGTGACTACAACAACAAGGTAGCATATAATAAATTACATGTTGTAAAGAAATTTGTTAATTTTTTGTTTGGATGTCGTAGGGTACAGTGGTAATGAATTTGAACATACAGTAACCCTACCTTATTACATTACTTCTTATGGCACAATTCCCTTTTATCATCACTTGATTGATGTTAAGGGCAAATAGGAACATAACCCCCTCCTCATTCCATTAATTCTCTTTGGGAAATTTCCTCACTATCAGTTGTTCAAGTATTCGTCCCTATTTTTCAGTAAGTAACCCCTGACAAATAACTGTACCAACAAGAAGTCTGTTGGCATTGAAGATTTAGATGTACTGTAATTAAATTAGAAAAAATTGATTAAAAATTCAAGAAAATACCAAACAAGAGGATTTCAGCAATGTGTGTAAGAATAAGAGTGCACAACCCTGCTGGAGAGTAGGATATATTGTGTTGAATCATGTAGTGTAATAGTGATTGATACAGAGAGTTCTGAGGTATGTACAAAGAGGAGAGTGGGTGTTAAAAGACAAGCAAAGTGTGTGTATATATAAATAAGCAGAGGTGAAGTAAAGGCAGAAGTGGACTAGGAAAGAGGTGGAAAATGTGCACAAGGGGTTAAGTTAAGAGTTTGGGAAGATGATATAAGAACAGGGATATGTGGGGGTCTGGTATGCATCATTCTGTAATACATATATGAGATACTGGACACAGAACAATAGATAATTTCATCATGGTTAAACTCTTGAGCTAGTGGGCTGAAATAACACAAACTTATATTTAGCAACTACAAAGAAAAAAATTACTATAACATCACAGATGAACATCACAAGAGTTTATCTCGTGTGAGACAAACTCATCCAAAACCACAATATTATTTCATTCAGCACAAACATTTCAAAATGCTAGGAATAATAATGAATAATTCCAGACTACAGATATTCTATAACACCTGTACTGATAATAAAATGAATTAAATGTTATGAATTCCAATTGTGGAACTGAGATTTGACAAGACAGGCTGCACAATATACAGTCTGGGAGCAGTCAGCACCTGGTAATGTTGGCACCTTGCTAAAATGATGATAAAATGTACACATTCACATGCATAGATATACTGGAAGTTTCCTTTGCTATAACTATACAATAAAATCGTCATCACAGTTACTTAATGGAAATACCTACATATCATGTTAACCTCCAGCAGCCTCTGTACATTTGAAGAGTTCAAAAATCTCTTAGTTCACATTGGAAGGCACATGTGTTTTCCTTAATTAAGAAGGCACTCAGGTGTCTACTGAACATGGAAGTAGTTTTTAATAGCAAAGTTAGGCACTTAATTCATATCTGTGCACAAGATATAGCTAAAATAATATACAAAACAATACCATAATGTCCTTTGGTTCATGTGCACCTGATGAGCATTTTCTTCACAATCAGACACAGTCAATGTTAGCATCAAGCAGCTGAAGACATGACCTATAAATATGAGATAAAACAGTTTGAGTGATGTGTATACACTTGTGCTAATATTACTACAATAAACAACTGGCTCACAAAAATACAAAAAGCACCCAAGCTTTAGAAGCAACATCTGACAGCAAGGTTGAATCTCAACTGTTAGAGCACATTCATAGATTTTTATATATACTAAGGATATTTTAATGTTTCTTGTGGCCACATAATGTGGTCATTTTAACTTGCTAAGCAGGAGTTGCATCATAGTTTTAATATCGGCCACATCTGTGGTTTGTTTGTGCAGTTGTTGCTGCAGAGCCTCTGTCTGACCCAACACCTCTTGTCTCACCAGCTGAGCCACCTGTTGACAATGAAAATATTAATTTCCTGTACACAACATTCAATCAAACTCTTATACAGTCTATTGTATTGTACATATTTTATATGATATGATATAAATAAGCATTATGAAGGGTGTCTGAGACAAGGAATGTACAGAGAGCCCCCCAAGTTTGCAGATTTTTACTTCGCTGTTCTCGGTTACGGTATTCGCGGATGACACCCTGGATGTACCCAAGAATGTCTGTGGGTAGTTTTAAAGTTGCCGGCATTTTCACGGATGGGACAGGGAGCCATTCATTCTAGAGACAGTAATTTCCTTTACCTGTACAGTGGTCCCTCGGTTAACGAGCGCCTCGGTTAATGAGTTACCTTCCATAAGATTCTTAACTTCGGTTAACGAGCAATCCCTTGATTAACGAGTTTCTTACGAGCCGACCTGAACATGTTTTCGCTTGCATTTGGCGGTCCACCAGCTGTAGTATTAGTCCGCCAATACAGTAATCGGTTCTAGGGCTTAAATTCCTTACCATTTTAGCAAATATCAAGAAGTTTATACTATTCAATAATTTTAAAAGTTTAATATTAAATTTTTTAGTCATTTTAACAATTATTGAACATAATTGAAGGTAATGAAACTAGTTTTATGAGCCTCTCATCACACAATACAGGCGTCAGTCTTTGTGTCATTTCAGTGGAGGTAACATCTTGCTTGAGACTCTTCAACTAAACGCTTTTTTCCGTGTTTGCAAGCAAATTATTGGTCATTTTGAAATTTATTTTACATATTGACAATATATAATGCAGTGCAGTGTTGATTTAAAGAAAATAATCTTGAATTACACCAAGAGAACTAAAATTTTATGGGTGAAATGGCACCATGGGGTAACTTCTCTTCCACCCCAATGCCTTCTCTTCTCCCTTCTCCTCCACCCCCATTGTAATTCCCATCATCATCATCATCCAGGAGCCTTCTACATACACACCTCAAAGTAAGTGTGCTTTTCTACCTTTTTTGTTGAATTTAGGCAATTTTCGGTGAACTGGAACCAATTACCCAAAAACCCATTGAAACAATGGTTTCGGTTAACAAGTTTTTCGGTTAACGAGCAACCTTCTAGAGCGAATTGTGCTCGTTAACCGAGGGGCCACTGTATTATAAATATATGTGTGTGTAAACACACACACACACACAAAACATATATAAATAAATAATGATGGACAAATACTCTCACAAATAATCAGAAACAAATTTATGAAAAATTTGAGTTTGCCCTCAAGTCCGTGCTCCATTACAGTACTTTATTAATAGAGCACGGACCTAAAATCTTACTATTTTTCTGTGGCTGAATGTGTGTTGAACTTAAGGCTAATCAATCACACTGCAGCAGAGTGGAGGAATAACCTGCTCACACTCACAGGTTTGAGAGACGGAAAGAGGCTAAAGGATTGCTCGCTGGCGCCAATTTCAAATGACAAAAATTTAAGGGTTTGGACAAATGTTTCTTGCCTGGTAAAGGTCCGGACTATCCTACATCTGGACTTATGGGGTCCGGACTTTCGAAGGTTTACTGTAATATAAAACTGCAATGGCAAACAACACATTCCATGAATTATATATACTGTATATATTAAGTAGTGTATGGGGCAACTTACCTGTCCATTAACATCTGAAGACAGACTACTGTCTGCATCAACAGCTCCTGATGCAGATGTCGTACAGGACACTGGTTCTCTTTTTTCCCTTTCAGCTTCTTGTCTCCTTGTAGTATCTTGTATTTGGTGGTTATTTTGAGGTAAACTTTTTGGGTCAGAAGAGTAACTTGAAGATTCTTGTGAAACTGAACGACGATAATATCCGTCTTTTTCTAGGGAAAAGTAATTAGAGGAGCCGAATGAACTTGAAGTATTAGCATTATCACAAGGTTTTTGTGCCCCTGGCACTGTACTAGAAAGTTCTTCTAGTTTTATAGGAACATTTTTGTCTTGAACTTTTACATTATAACTGGAAGTCCCTGGATTGTCTGAATTATGCTTAGAAAGTTCTGGAATGGCAGACATATTAGTATAAGTATCCAAGAGAACTGAATTATTATTCTCTGATCCTAATGATGTTGAACTATGCTTCACTTCACCTAGAGAAACTGAACTATCCCTCAGGGGATTTTGGTGAGATGAAGGGTTCTCCAGAAGATCTGACTGACTAGGGGGATGACTGTGGGACACTGTTGGATCTTGGCTGTTGGCACAATAATCAGAAGGTTCTGGTGAAGGCTGTCTTGATGCCAGGGTGAGCGTCTCCAAGTCACGACATAGTTCTGATTGTTGTTGAAGAAGGAGCACCATCTGCAATTGCAGTACGTATATAAAATAAAATAATTGGTTCCATTTCAGGTTCATAAAAATGTTCTAAACAAATTAACTCATTCTGTCTACATTTGTAAACGTTCCCTCAATAATATTTACCATTTTCAGTTGCCAGATTTTTACTTTATACTGAATGAGAACTAAATATGGATATCTAGTCACTAGATATGAGCCTATGCAGATATACCAACATTTAAACACAGGGTTTGAATTTGTGAAGGCTCAAAATACAAAATATTACACAAAAATAACTTCCTTACTCCATATTCTTACTCAACTAAGACTACAGCTGTTTAAGACTACCCAACACAGAAGTAACCCACAGAATTTATGACTCCTTTTTTATTTACTAATTCCTAATTATTGAAGATTAATCGATATATGACCATTGGAGTATGTAGTTAGCTTTAAGTCATATTATGTATAAAAAAAAGACTTCCATTAACTCCTAAGTCACAAACAAAAGTCCTGTTGTCTCTCCTGCTGCTCCATGAACCCAGAGATTCAGACTTGTGAATCCAAAGCATCCGTGGACATCAGTGTCAACTGCTTTGGGTTCACTGGTCTGAATCTTGGGGTTCATGGAGCAGTAGGAGAGGCAATAGGAATTTTGTTTGTGACTGCATATAGCTGTTTCACACATCTAAATACACGGTAGTTTAATAATTAAAAAAAAAAATCCACTGAATTTTCTTCTGAGACACAGTGAGGAATTGTAACTTAAACCTGGTTTATGAAACACACAAGGGAGATATATATCACACAGGTTTTGGATCAGCTGAGCTAAACCAAGTAAATAAAGCTGAAAAAATAATCAAGCAACAACATTATAAAAGTTAATGAAGAAATGTGAACGTGTAGCCTCCTGCCCCTGCTTACCTGTGCCACAACTCTACTAACACATGATTGACTCAGAGAATTGGGTTTGGCTCCTGCCATCAGCTGTTCCATGTGGCTGACTTCAGCCCGGATGGCAGCCCTAATGGCCCGAATGTTGTGCAGCTGCAGGGACACTTGCTGGGAGGTCACAGGAGAGGTGGCTGTGTCAGCAGCAATTCTGTACAGCTGATGGGACAGTTGCTCCTGATGTAGCAGCTGCTGACGGTATGACTGAAGAGTGTTCGTCAGCTCCTGTGTGTAAATACACTATACTGTACTGAGAGCTTCTTCTTATTGCTGGTATATTCTGGGGCAATAGATATTAAAATGAACAGAGCTTCAGTGACAAACTTACAGTCATCCCTTTATGTGTGGTTAAGTTTGAACATTTCTCTTATGCACCCCAGTAAATGAAAAGGTTTCTCCAAAACAAATTTTCATGATTTTTTTTTTAAAGGCTGTTAAGTGTCATTGCATTACACTGTATGAAGAATGAGATAACAACTAGCAAGCACTGTATGTAAGTAGTGGTGGTATGACCAACATTAAAAAGAAGTGAACACTATCAGGGGATGAATAATTTGAATAAGATTAGTTATGGTGAATCTTAAAAGGATAAAGTCATCAAAGGTATAGTCATATACAATAGTATTAATCTTAAGAAATTAAATGTATTAAATAAATATATATATAAATTTTTAACCAAATCTGTGAATGGCAATAGTCCTGGAGAATTCATCCTTACATAAGCTTGGCTGTTTTTATATCTAAAACTTGCCCTCACTCTAACCTCATGAACAGGTATTGTCAATCATCACTTTGCACTTCTAAATACTGTACTTTAAATATGCCAAAAAAGTCTTCATAAAGTGCACTGGGTTGAGTCTCCCTAATATTTACAGTAAGGTGTTAAGTGTGGTGTAGTCAAATATGGAAAGATAAATAAATCACAGCTGTACACAACTTTAAACTTGAACATAGTTAACGTTGTTATAATTTCTTTAATATACTGTATATTGTATGGAAGGAATTCTCCACCTACTGTCCTCAATAAATACATTAAAGTCAATAATACTAACACTCCCTTCAAACACACAATCCTCAAGTTGGTCTTCCATTACACTTCTCTTGCTTTATTTACAGGCTTTAGCACTTCTCTTATTGAATATTCTCTTTTAATAAATGTTTTTATACATCTTTTTCCTGAACCTGTTTAAGCTACCACAGTATTTTTTGTTAAGTATTTGTAAATAATTTTACTTTTTGTTACCCAGACCAACTTCCTTATTCCTCTACGTGTACTACATGAACATCACCTCCAAGGGTCGTTGACTTACATGAGACAGGGACTGTGGCTCACAGGTCTGGTTCACACGTTGATCGGTGATGGTGTCCTCAAGTTTCCTGCCCTCACCACTAGAGAAGTGATTGTTAGCCAAGCTGTTGCTGTTAGTAGGAGGGAACAGATACTCACTACTGACAGCATGCCAGTGGCCCTGGGAAGGCTGGTATGGGTCAGGCAACAAGGATGATTGCGCTAGCTGCCTCGGTGGCTGTAGTTGTGAAGGCACTGATTGGGATATCTGGTGTTGCTGTGTAACAGTGTGGCGTGGTTGTCTTACTTCAGGAGCCAGGCTGGGGGGTAGACGCTCAGGAAAAGAGTGCCGCCTCTGCCTCACCTTGTGTTTTGAGCTGGAGGGCTGCTGCCATTGTGATGTGTGTTGTCTGCACCAAGTGTCAGATGGATGATATGAATTATGTAACGAGTTTCCAGGTTCTGGATACGAGGTGAAGTACTGCGTACACGCTGGTGTATGTTGCCCATTAGCAATTACTTTTGGTGCATGCTCTACTGGAGGTTTAACGTGGTATGCATGAAATGCTGAATTATCTAGACTATGACTAGGATTTACAGGAGTGGGATGAGAGTTGTGGCTGTGACTAGATGATGAACAATCGAGACTATGAGCATGATGAAAGTGGGGATGACAATTAGAGGCAAGGCCGCTGGCAACGGGACCCACGGTTAAAGTGTGACCCGTGTGATGGCTCAAGTTATGGTCCCGACAACCGTGTGGAGGGACGAGGCCAAGGACGCGGCCACCTTGAGTCCCAGAGCCGTGATCTCGATGAGTGGTTGTCTGGTCGAGGCTGATGGTGCGAAGGTTGGTCTGGCCTTGAGGACTAAAGCCAGGACGCAGAGCCTTGGTACGGCCGAGTGGCATGTGGCGGATGGTGTCCATGCTGCACCCGGTGTCACGACTCCACCACCATCCGTGACCCTGTGCATACACACCCACACACACAAGCATCACTACCCTTGTACACATGCATTGTACCTAAATTAGATTATGGAAGCTACTACCAACACAACTGTTAGTACAAAATTATGACTGAACAGTCATTTTAAGTACTACATTTATGGCAAATTTTTGTGTAATTTAATAAAAATGTATGATGACTGAGCAGACTAGTTTCTATATAGCCAGGCTTGCACTGGATGATCTACTGTACACACTAAAACATTATAAACCAAGCATAAATATTTTAATCAAACTATTTCAAATAACCATTCCATAATTTATGTACAGTCAACCCTCGCTTCACGCGGTCCCACATTCCGCGTTTCCACGTTTACGCGGTACCCTGCCGAAACAGGAATGCTCACATTCCGCGGTGCATGTACCCCTTTACGCAGAGAGCGGCTGGCGAGCTGCGCCATTTTTGGATCCAAACCTCTCGCCATCTCTCCCACCCTCTCTCATCATCCACCATGTTGTGTAAGCGGCGCGAGCATGATGCGCACAAGGTCGCCCAGTCATCAAAACATTACTGAGTTCTTCACCCGCCACCCACCACAGCCGGCCCAAGTCAGTGATAGTGATAATTATAGTGAGGATATGGACTTATATGGACTTTGAGGGGTTTGACAAAGAGGCCCTGCAAGCCTCTGTGGTGGATAGTGATACAATTGATACAAGTGATACAGGTGAGGGCCAATAATCTGCCCTCTGCCTCGGAACCAACCCCCATCCCCGTGTGCCCAGCCATCTTTTCTACTAATGTAAGTGTTAAAAAACCTAATATTATTGATATTTCTCTTAATTATTAATTGTGTGTGCATACCATCATAAAATTAAGAAGTTATTTTTACTACAACGTAGGTATTGTGTCTGAAAAAGTGGAGTTTGGGGGTCGGCCCGGTCTCTATTTCAATTAATCCCATATGTTATGTTGTTCACTTTACGCATTTCTCACTTCTGCGGTAACCTGTGGGTTGAATTAACCGCGTAAAGTGAGGGTTGACTGTATTAATGAATTACTTTATACAAAATATGGGAATTATGAAAATTAAGGAACCATATAATCATTTGCAACACAAATATCATAAAAATATTAGCAAGAACAAGAACTACACACTAATGAAAGAAGGCACAGCCCTGGCAGCCTAAATAAATCATAAAACTTTAACACAGGGAGCAAGGGGTCTAACTCAACTGCAACATATTGAGTACTGTATTACTCTCTGAAAAAAAGAGCAACGCCACTTAGTGAATGCACCAACTAATTATTTCTAATCTAAATAATTTTATGACATGAAAATCATGCATGAGATATTTTATTAGTGTAAAATATACTTATGTAGAATTAACTATGGTACATTACTGCCTGATAATATGTTAACCATAAAGATATTATTCGACTACCCAAAGTTGAGGCTAGCTGGTGGTGTTTACATTATGCAACAAGAAATTAACCCACTGGAGAATGACTGCTTCATTAACCCGGGGATATATTTGTCTTTTTCACTTTATTAATTCGTTTCCCACTATGGTGCAGGGTGGCCTTGGATCAACACAGACCTCCTCGATCAATATCATTCCTCAGCCCCTGCTGCCGTACCAGAGATATTCAGCCCCAGTGTTCCCTACACAACAAGGCCCCCAAGATATATATTTACAAGAACTAAAATCTCCTCCACCACATCGCACACCTTGTCTTTGTTATGATGATTTAAGAGGCACAAGCAAAACAGTGACGAGGCCAAACTTACCCAAGAGAAGGTGAAACAGACTATTCCAAATTTACCTAAAGGAAATGAGTGAGAGTTCATGAGCCAACAACCTCATCTAAGGGGGTAAGAGGCAAAACACAAACTATGTAAAACTCCCATAACTTTCTCTCAAAAAAATACCTTTGTGACAGGAAGTTCCACTATCAGTTTATCCCAGTTCTTGTGATTTAAAAAAACAAAAACAAAAAGGGTGACTTTCATATGAGGCATTCCGATTGATAGTGACAAATCAACCAATGGCGCCCAAATCAGATTCTTGTTTCAACAGGAAGTTCCGACTCTTTCTTTACCCAATACAGGATGACCAATAAACCCTGTACAGTTTTGGGTAGAGAAAGAGTCACACTTCCTGTTGAAACAAGAATCTGATTTGGGCGCCATTGGTTGATTAGTCACTATCAATCAGAGCGCCTCACATTATGTAAATACCATGAAACTGTGAATTAGTATCTAAAATAATGTTTCAAGAAGAAAATCTATTCTACACACACTGATATATGGATGAAATAGATCTATCTTTTTATATTCAGTAATCTGTTTTTATCTTTATTTTATCTTTTTAATCATCTCTATTCATACCACACACTGCCATTCACACATTCCTCAGGTACAACCTTTCAATGTCAGGATAACACGTTCATTTTATCATCAGTCGGTTAACCAGTACCATACTATATCATAATTTCAACAATCATCAGTACAAACCACAATCACTATAATCATCCTTCATGTCACTCACTCATTTAACAATCACTAGTTTTTACAGTCATATCTTATTATCTAATGTCTTTTTGCGGTCACTTGTAAAACCGTGGAAAGTGGATTTAAGAGCCGTGCTATGGTATATAACTCGACCGGTCTGATTCACCATGCCCTCCCCACTCACCCCAAATTTTGCAAGGTTTTCCTCACTATATCAAAGAGTGGCCAGATACATGAGTGACACATACTCTCCTTCACTAACTGACATCCACTCTTGTAGCTGCCTTCCCAGATGTGTTCTGCTTCAGTACAGTATTGTGTTTCTCTCCACAATAATGTTGCTTGAGTTTCTTTATATAAAATAAAACCTCACAAAATTTGTCATACTATAACAGTATTAGGCCCACAAGGACATTAGGATACAGTTGTTACTGTATTAGAGGTATTTCAGGGTACAGTATTATAATTAAATTATACAAAACTGCATAGTGCTGGAGAAGCTACACAGTGATTCATGCCATGACTACTGCACTGTGAGTGTCATGACTTCTATATTCTGTAGCCATATATTACTGTGACTCTACTACTACAGTACATCAGTGTGTCATACTCACCATGGCATAACAAATATGGGTCCCATGGGTCTGACAGGTATAGTACAGATATTGCACACTGAAAACTAAGCTTATATCCTATACACAAGGAGACAGTGTGGCCAGCAAAATATGTGCAAAAAATTTCAGGCATAAAAGCCAGAAGCAAAAGGATATTTTGCAGGGCACTTGAAGCAGCAGCTAATGTGACCGCCTTGATCCACCTAAAACTCTCTACAGATCTTTATCTTCTGATGGGTGCAGTACAATGTTTATGTACTGTATTGCATTCCCCATTATTTTTATATTTACATTATGTACACAGATGAATAACTCATGTTTACACTTCATTTTTATGTCACTACAGGTCCAAATTAACCCTAGAAATATTTATATAAACTATTGTTGATTGTTTGAATTCATAGGTCAATATTTTGGGTATAAACCGTTAAAAAACCCTCATAGCCTCAAAATCCTACACACCAGTCTTAGTGCCTTATAGAGTTCTGATCCTGAAATATTATTGTCTATCAAAGTCCAGACCCCAAGCAGCTCCTAGAACACAAGCTACTTACTGGAGGGTCCCATGCCCTTTGTCAATTCCTTTTATATCAGCTAAGATTCATCTGTAAACACAAATTGCATTAACTAATTATCATTCCCTCCTCATCACATCTAACCAGCACCTCAGTTAATTCACATCCTTTTCTCTCAGTCAATATTGGTTGAAATATTTAATCACTGTGATTTAAGGTTACGATTAAAAGGAACTCTCACTGTCTCCATACAAACCTCAGTACAGACACAGTATTCACTCAAACAGAGAATAGGATATACTTACCCTGCATTATTTATCAAACAATTTAATAATAATGCAGTGTTTAATCAGTGTTAAATAGGAAACATTCTAAAAATTTATTACAACATCCCACAACAGTAGTAAGAACAAGGATATTGAATTAGACTGGCAATATCAAATCATAGGGTTTACAACTCACCCACTGATTATACCAAAAGTGTACTATTTGTAATACACAGGAAAGCCAAAGTCTCTGAGGAAAACAGGCCTGAAACTACCAATCTTTGTCCCACAAGCTTAATACAACTGCACAAGGGGTACCTCACATTAGGAGATAGTTTAGGAGGAAGTTCATATATTCCTCAACTAAAAATAGACTTCAAGAATCAAACCAGCCCATCCCAGGTATGCACTAATGCTTTAACAATGAAAAGCAAATACATATATAGCAAGCCCTCAAGATAATGGACAGGGAGATTGAAGTGTAAATTTAATACTCAATCAAGTCTGCCCATCTAATGAGGCCCCCCCCCCCCCAAAAGCCAGTTTATGCCCATCAGCTAAATCCCAGCAGTCTTGACTATCAAATGGTGCGAGGCCTGATCCGTGTGGAAAAACCACAAATAATATGGACTGAGATATAATGCCAATGAAATTTCATGTTGCATGGATCAGGTCCAAAAGGCTTATCACCCCACACTCAGGAAGGTCAACAAAAAGATGTCTACAAACCTTTGCCAACAACAGGCTTATGAAATAACATCAATCTTACTTGAATGGTTACACTAAGAACTACACAAAATGTAATATTCCTTGACATGTTACAAAGGGGCTGGATACCTAGAGTTTTGTAATAAAATAGGTAGGCTTAGGGAGGGCTAGTCTGACAAGTCTGCTCTTGATGGCAGTCAGCTTAGAATTGATTTCTGAAATGGAAGACTTACAGACAGATAGTGGAGCCGAGGTCTGGCAATAAGTGTGCACCGGACTCTACAGGATGACCAGTGTACCTGATCTCCCCCGTTTGAGACAAATGTGTGATGGGGAGGAAAAGGTAAGTGACTTACCCAGAATGGGTCAACAGCTCAACTAATGAAGATTGTTTGAGGAGATATAACTCCCAGGTAAGTAATGAGTGTTATAAGAACCACCTGGGTAAAGGGCACAACCCAGTAATCTATTTATATTTAGTCTAATGACTTCAATAACTTCCCATTTTTATATCTGGGATAATTATTAAAATATCCTCATATCTTTACCTAACTAAATGACCTGCACACAACACTAGAGAAGCAGGAAGAACACTTACGGTGGGGTGACTTGACGTGCTCGAGTGCTGGACACTGGACAGGGGTAAGGGATGGACAGCAGGTCCTCGGGTCTCTCCCTCGCCAGTGTCTCCCTCCATAAAGCCTGAGGAGTCTGACTGGGCACTGCCTGAACGACACAGTGGCCCAATTGCCCCCAGCCTCCCACCTTCATCCTGTGAACCATCATGGCCTCCCCCTCGTGCCTGTTGAGTTACCAACAATTACAATTCAAAAGAGAATGTGACTGTATAACGCATACAGTTTTGACATAATTACTGTTTAGAAAGGAGATTTTTATTTTATATTTTTTTAAACTGAATCTTTGTAAACTGCCTGCACTGTATAGCCTCACACACACACACACTCAGATACCATGCTTGGGACACACTCTTATAGTAAGCAGGACTTGAACTAAGGTGGATGGCATCCCCTTATTAACTCAAAATCAAATACAAGTCTGTACAAGTATCCCTTGATTTAAAATCATCTGTTTTACGATAATCTGTGTTAAATTTAATTAGGTTTTAACATCCTCTCACAATTAACATTAGGCAAAATCCATGTTATTGTTAGGCTAAATTCTATGACGCGGAATGTAAACACTGGAGAAATGCATCTTTCCCTTCACTTGTCAAATCCAAGATGGCTGACATGAACAGAAAGTTCACGGCCACCATGCGAGTTACAGTCCTGCTCTGTTTCAACATGACCTTGTGATTGCTTCGATACTTTGCCATTATTGGTGAAAGGAAAACATTAACGTTCAGATTATGCTCAATTTTGGTGACTGTGAAGTGATCATTGTAATCGTGTAACTTTGAAAATGGCTAGCAAGCGTCCTGCTGACATGTGATGCCGACCACGATTGTTTTTGTTTTTATTTACTTAATTAGTGTAGGATCATTTTTTCTGCGTTACATGTCTGTGTCGGACAGGCCAGGAATGTGTCCCATTGAAACCCATGTTAAAAGGGTCGCAATTTACATAACGTTTTTTTTTGGAACACAACCCTATTGTAAACTGGGGGATAACTGTATTTTACTACGATAATAATTGATAATTCTAGTGCATATATTTCCCTCAAATGTCACCAGAATGTAGTATTATGCAGTTACATAATTACTTCTACTTTTTCACAAATTTCAAGAGAGGAGGAATACCCTTCAACCCTCTACCTAACCCAAACTCACTACCAACCTCTTTGTTGTCATTTAATAATTTGAAGGGATAAGGTAGGATGGATAAGAGGGCCAGAGGGAAGGAAGATACTGGGAAATATAACTGAAATGAAGAGCTCTGTCCCCTGAGATATACAAAGTCTGGGAGAATAGGTAAAGACAGCCCACAAGTGTCTGGTGTGGAGGGCCTTGGTCAACAGCCTCTGACATAAGGGTGACATGGCTGACACCTTGATTGATTGATTGATTATAAACTATTTTGGTATTACAGTTATTGTACTTATTAATGGAAAGAACCCATATGGTCTTTTCCTTTTCCACAGTTATAACGTAACATAAAAGTTTCAGTTTCCACAAATAGTCCCGTCTTCATTCTTTAATAGATTACACTCAAGTTTGAACTCCAACTGCTCAATGGAATATGGACATTTGAGGTCTGATTGTGCCACTCTCCCTGACAGAGGAAGTTTTCATTTTCCCCAAGTTCATCATTACCACAACAATATTTTCAAGGGTGTCTGCTGGAGGAAAGGGGGGGGGGCAGTTGCAAGTACAGGCTGTGTTATTCAAAGTAAAGTACCTATGCAAATACCCCATCTATATATAAAAGCGTACCAAATCCAGTTGTGGAAGCTAGTTTATCCCTTTGCTCCCCCCTCCCCCCAAGATTAACCACCCTTACCCCACAGGTAGCATTAGTGCTTAATCATCAGGTAGGGGTTAATCTTCAGGTAATCCAAATACTTGATACTCAGATTTAATGACCTGGTCTTAGAGAGAGTTAGAAGTGTTCTATTCTACAGGTGTTGTTCACCTTGTGTGTGGGGGAGAACTGCCCTGTTTAAAACAAGAAGTGACCTGGGTAATGTGTAGTAGTACTGACCTGGTCTGCAGTTAAGGTGTGGGGGTGATGCTGCTGGAGGTGAGGCCAAGGGAGATGTAGAGTAGGCGGTGACTGACACCTGACGTCCGCACAAGTTTCATCCACACATTGTTGCCGTCGCAAACTGCACGCACCCCGATGATTTGGCACATTTCGGGGATCTCCAATGACAATAGGGCGATTTATCAGATGTGATCTTACAGACTCACTGCAATTATCCATTACAACAGTAGAGGCTGAAAACATATCTGTATGATGTGCTGTTGGGTCAAGGGTGCAGGAGGAACAATGTAACAATGGTTGCAATGGGTGAAAGGCACTGTGAGAAGGTACATGTACAAGAATATTTTGGCCAGTGTCAAGTGCACTCCTGGTTGCTTGTGTGATATATACAGAGTTCTGGGTGTGCATTTCACTTGATAAGTTTTGTGTGAACTGTTGAGGTGTATTAAAGTGTAGAGAGTTGCCAGGATCACTGGAACTGTGGACAGGCACATCAGCCTCACTGATTATCTGGTGATGGGAAGGCTCCTTACCACCATCATCCTCCAACTCTTCCTCTGGGATCAACTCATCCACCTCTCTGCTGCTGTTGCTGCTCACTGTACTGATGCGCTTACTGCTGCCCAGGCGCTTCAGTAGTTTGCGACGACGCTCGGCAGAATCTGCTGAACCACCCAGCTGAACGGGTCAAATATATTATTAATTAAGTGTTCTATAAAAGTACTGTCATGTATTCCTTGTCAACTTCAAAGCTACATACTGTACTTCTACTCAAAGATAATGAGCACAGTGCAATGAAATTATTTTATAAAGATGCTAAAACAATACAGAACATAAAATTTTATTGTAAAAGTTAAACAAATATAGATACATATTGTAGCTGTGTGTTATTCCAACTCTAACCTTACACTGTACAGTATCAGTGACTCTACCCATAAAACCTTCCATGTTGGCTCTACACTAGTCTTTAGTTACCTTCACTCTCTCAACAGATGGAGTTCTAAATATAATAATAAATACAGGTCCAAAATTTTTTGCTACGAACTCAGAAAAAATTCAATATACTGTACAGTATATATCAGGTGCCTAAAAGAGAGCTCAGGCTCTCAACTGGCTCAGCCATATGAATATTGTTATTATTATCCACTCTGTATCTGTGTTTTTCTGGCTAAATAAACTGTTTCAATTCAAAAGTATGCCAAAAAGACAGCAACCTTTGTAAGCTGAAGAAGAAATGAGCATAAGAATAGAAGGACATTACCGGTTGTGGGGAGTCGAGAGAATCTCCTGGGGTGGTGGGTGTCTCGGGGGCTTCAGAAGGTGGTGGGTGACGGGTCAACAGCAGCTGTAAACTACGTCGTCGGTCACGCAGCTCCTCCTCGCTGCTTTCAACGCTGGTGGCTGAGCTGGCCATGGACCATACCGAGTCTTTGTGTTGTAGAGGTTTGTGAGGTCGATAACTTTGCTCGTCATCATCTTCTTGATCTTCCTCATCTTTGGAGTCAGGTTCATCTTCTTCCTCAACTTCTTGAGGATCCAACATAACATCTGGCCCATCTAGATCATCCTCATCATTGAGTAGCTGGCCATCACGGTCCAGGTCAAATGAGGCCTGACCAATGATGAGTCGCTTGCGTGGAACTTCAGGCGACTTCTGTCCCTGTAGATCTAACAGTCGACGGTTTTCTGGGTTCAGGACCGACCGTCCAACTGCCGCCAAGGTGTTCATCACGGCACTCTTCACTGCCGTTTTCTTCGCAACTGCAGCAAACCTCTTTATCCCTGTTGGTTGAGCTGGGGCTGGAGGTGTCCGGGGAAGTTCATCACTGGAATTTCCATGCATAAGTCTGGTGCGAGACTCCCGGAAGTTATCAAGCAACTGGGTCATCAAAGGGGAAACTGTTGCTACAGATGACCGACGCAGCGCTGCTCAAATAGATGAATAACCAAACAAAACGATTAAAAAAACAGAATTAAATGAACATAAAAGAAAAATACCAAAATAAATGAGTAAATGCGTCAGAAATAAAGGTAAGTTAATACATAAGAACATACATTTTTTTTAGCTGAAAACAGTTATTCCTCTACAGTATTTATGAGAGGGATATACACCTAAAAAAAAGTGGATAACGAAATTCATAAATTGATAAGGTCTCCCCAATGATTGAGAAAAAAAGAGGCATGTGTGTGTGTGTGTGTGTGTGTGTGTGTGTGTGTGTGTGTGTGTGTGTGTGTACCTTACATGATCTCCAGCACAGCTGTGTGTCTGGGATTTTGTAAACATAAGAATTTTTGGCTTGTGTCTATAAAAAAATAAAAAAATAAAAGTTCCCTAATTTATCTAATAATATAGTAAAGGAACATATTAAATACTGAAAATATATAGAGGAATAACTATACATAAACAAACCACAAACGACTTATATTCCTGACCTATATAACTGCTCAAAAAAAAAAAAAAAAAAAAAAAATGGAAAGTGAAATATTAACATGGAACAGTAAGTGATAAACTAGATATACCAAACCCAAGATAATACTTAATATAAACAATAAATAAATAAATAAGGTAAAACTTAGGACGAAGAGACTGCCAGACCACACAAACATTGATCATTACAGCTGTACAGTATGCATGTGTATTACACCTGTACTGTACTGGTGACTAACATACAAACAAACCACTCAAACAACCTCCTCAAGTCTTGTTTGTATCTATATATAAATCTGGGGTATAAACATTCATTATCTGGGGTATAAACATTCATCATCTGGGGTATAAACATTCATTATCTGGGGTATAAACATTCATTATCTGGGGTATAAACATTCATCATCTGGGGTATAAACATTAAAAATTCCCTATAAAGTCAACACTTACAGTATACAATTTATAAAGCTGAGATATAATGGACAGTATTACGGATTTTCATTTTCAACGGAGGTTTTCTGATACTGTATTGTACCAGCTGTAACTGATATACTGTACCGGCCGTAACTATGATTCTGTACTCCCTTAAATTGTTTTTGTCATGTCTTAATTCTCAATCTCTCCTCTCATTCAAAATTAAAATCATAATAAAGTATCATATTTGTTTTCTATACATTACTATCAAAATAACATTGATAATATATAACTACTGTATATTAACCAGATCTTAGTATCAATATAGAGGAGTGATCTGTGACATTTTCAAGACCCCCTGTTTGTTATATTCTGAGGAGAAAATATAATGTGTAATATGATTAATCCTTTCTTTGATGCCTTGATGAAGTCTTGTTAGAATGTTCTCTCAGTCAGTCAGGAAAATGTGGTGCATATGTACACAGTGCAGTTTATTTGAGGCTATGCAGGTAGAAGTAAAATTTTTTATATTTCTCAACTAATTCTAAGCTTGTTGTTTCGCATACCAAGGAAGCAGAACTACAAGTTGGCAATACTACGACACTATGACAGTTTGCAGTTGCTGGTCTGTTTATGAATTCAGTTATTATGATCTCAAAACATACGGTACTAGGGTGTATGATTCAACTATACACGCAAAAATTTCTCATGCAACAAAAATTCCAGATATGTGGTATGAAAAGCCAATGTGACCAAAACACTAAGTTTAAGTTTTATTTCATATGTTTATTATTGAGAAAATGCATTATGGTAATAACTGTCAGTTCCAGCTAATAGAGCAGCTGTAAGTAGTAAGAAATGTTACCTAGTGAGACCACAGATACAGCTCTCTCTCTCTCTCTCTCTCTCTCTCTCTCTCTCTCTCTCACATACACCATTCCTTTTGTAAAATACATATTCTATAGGGTAGAACAAACATATATAGTCAAGTATCACAGAAATATATATATATATGTATATTTTTGTTTTTGTACACTAATTATATAACATTTTATATATACTGTATACTGTAGTATAGAGAATAAGGCTATTAATACTGTTTACACATCTAACAATATTACTTGATCCATATAAAAAGCCACAAGTCTCTCATATAACTGCTAGAAGATGCTATAACACACACACACACACTAGACCACAACTAAGCAAGTCCAAACTGAAACAATCATAAGTTTTGTATAAGTTAAACCAGTGATGAACTGTGTAAAAATGTAAAAAGTCTGGACACACTACAGCACGAGTCTCTTCTGACAACAACACATTATGTTAACAAACTGACTGATGGGCTTCACTGATAACATGAGCAACAATTAACAATAATACTGAGAAGGTTCTATATAGACACTGTCTCATTCACAGAATGTTACAGTAGCCTGTACTGTACTGTACTAACTAGTAGCCTTATACAAGGTAGTACTGTACAGGTTTACACAACATTGTACAAGTACTATAACACAGTACAGTACTGTATGGGTTAAGGTACCACAAGAGTAGCCTGGGTTATGTAACACTACAATATCTTAATATATATCTCTTCTCTAAACACACAGAGACTCCTACTGAGTGTCCCGCCACAGTACTGTACAGTACGTGGATCATATGACACTGGTACAGTGGTTAATGATGAACAATTTACCTTACTAAAGTATTACCATCATAATAAGCTGGGTATTTATCATATAGTCTCTGCAGTACAACACCAGCCACTCTCTGCATCTAACTCGGTGAGGTCATTTGTGGCCAACACACGGAGACTTTGTGTTATCACATTTTTATACTGAACTAATCTGCATAATGTATGCATATAAAACATCCGTATATCAAAATAAAAATACTGTAGTATAATAAACTTGATCAATGAAAATTAAATTTTATTAACCCCTTTGTTATGCCTCACAAAAATACTATCATAATATAAGTTAAAATTTGCTTCTGTTTATTCTTGTCTAAGAGACACAAATTTCTCAGTTTAAGATAATCATAAAAAGTGAAAGTGGGTCCCATAGGCATAAATTGCCCGTTAAGGACAGTGTGGATACAGCACACTGTATACATGTACTGTACTAAGACTTCAGTGCACAAGGAGGCAGCATGACCAGTACTGCTCTCAACCGCATTCATTTCCACAAGTTATAAACTTAGGTACCCATTTACACCTGAGTAAGCTGGGAGTACTATGCAGGGATCAAATCATCGACCCATAGAACAGAAGGGAAGTGCTGTATCCACTTGACCACTGCATTATACCTCAACAGTTATTCATTAAGTGTTCAAAACTGGAAAATGACTTTTAAGTTAAATATGTAAAACAGATTGTTGAGTAGGCATTATTGATCTCTAAGTAGCAAAGGGGTGTAAACCAGTTGCCAATCACCTTGAATATTTTACTACACTAATAAAGCAGTTCCAGATTTTTGTGTCAGCCAGTTCAAGTTACACCACACTTGTATTAGTTGTCCCACTATTGTCCCCACTACTGTATCACTTAAGTTTCTCACCCACTTATTATCATCCCACTATTGTTTAGGCCACTTCTTATCACCCCCAGTACTGTGTCTCCAGTTCACTTAAGCTCCTCCTATTATCATGTTCAGCTGGAGATGATAAATCCACCTCCAGCAGTCACCTCTCGAGGCCAACACTCAGGTCGACCCCCATAGATAAAGTACTGTATCTCATCTTAACCTTTATATGGCCCAGGGAGATCCTTAAAATATTATTATATTTACTACTAATAATAAAACTGATTACATAATAACAATTAAAAAGGAAAATAAGTTACAGTTATTATTTGAGACAATCTAAAATAAAAGAATGATCCTTCTTAGCAATGCATTTTTTTCAGAGTCATATTTGAGAGTTCAAGGTTAGCACAGTAATGTCTTTGTGGAGCCAGTGTGTGTGTGTGTGTGTGTGTGTGTGTGTGTGTGTGTGTGTGTGTGTTGCTAACTCTGAACCCTTAATACCAGTTACTTAATCACAGGCTCAATAATACCCAATACACACAAATAAGCTAAAACACATAGGGTTTTTATGGTCCATTAAGATGAACACCAAATGTATAGTGACCAAATTTTCACCTTTTATTTCCATCATAAATAACACTACACTATGCTTGTCAGGAGTAACGTTCATGCATGAGGTTATGTTAGTGGTGTGAGTTAATACCTTGAGCCATGATTATGTTGTCTTTACAGATAAAATTATAATCTACATACTATATATACTGTATATGTGATAGGTAACTGACTACTGTACTGTACACTGCAAGTAAGTTACCCACACTCCTTTTGTATCACTAGCACACAACTGTCATTCTCTCCAACACATATTCACTCTCTCCCTGAAGCTCTCCACTGACAGTCTTATTACGTCCACTCTCATATATCATGGATCTGGGGAAGGTTAGATACAGTTTCTTTACAGTTGCCTAAAACATTGAATTTCATTACCCGACACATGTCCCTAATTTCAGGGTTTTCGCCACAGTCTTTGAAGTGTGTCAGCCTTCTCTAAACTCGGGATGATTGGAGGGAACTTTTTACTCTTACATACAGTGCTGTCTGCCCCTGGGGGATGATGTTCAAGACAGTATCATACCTGTGAAGAATTTAATTTCAAAAAAAATTTCAAATGTTTTATTGGGAAATTTTGACAAGTCTGTGCTGACAAACTACAGCACTTTGGGGGAAAACCCTGAATTTCATGTAATTTTCTCACAACCAAATAAAACAGCTTTTTCTTAAACCTCTGTAACAACGGGAGCTGCACCAAAGTTTGAGGTAAATGAGTATTTGTGCTCAGAGAATTTATTCACTATCTGGCAGCCAGCACTTAAGATGTTTTTGTAACATTTTGGTTACTATAGATATACAGTAAATGGTGGACTTAATTACATAGAAAGTGAACTTATTTCTCAAGTTAGGATTTGAAATTTATCAACATTTAAAAAAAATGCATATACGTACACCATTGTGAATGCATGACCCTTAACAATATTACTACACAGCAGATTCTTAATAAC